GAGGGACATCGTCGATGGCTGTTACATCTGATCTTTTAATTAATTACATGATTTTTTATAAGATATAATGCGTTCTTCTGTTATTTAAATGAGATTATGGAATTTAAAAAAAATTAGAATTATAAAACTTTAAGGCTGTTCTTAAATTAAGTTGTGATTCTTTGCTTCTATAATAGATTATTAGAGCATATCAAACTCTAAAAATAGATAATAAGAATAATTTTTTGGCAATTGAATAAATTTGCTATTAGATCTTTAATAATAAGTTAGAAAATATAAATCTGAAGTTGAAATTTTATTGTATCTTTATGATATAAATCAAAAAACAAAAATAAAAAAAACTCATACAGATTCTTCAGCATCACTGCTAAATGAACTGTCTCCAGTGTCAGTTTGCTTTAATTGTGAAACTGGCTATGGAGCATGATTATATGTATTATTTGCTGCATGAACCTAAAATATTTATCAAATTAATACAATTCTATCATTTTTTTCTTAAGTTTTACTATCTTCTGCTGCTTTTTTACTTTGTTGTTTTTTTAAATATTCAAGTTTTGTGTTTACATATTTCTCCAATTATCTTGTCTTTTTAACAGGTAAAGTATCGATATCAAATTCTAATTCATCATTTTATTCTTAAATTTTCAATCCATCAGAAACTATTTCCCAAACTCCTCTGAGATGTTCGGGAGGTAAGCTATTTATGTTTGAAACTAAGGCTCTTTTTTCCTACATATTCATAGGTTGTTCCATTAGGCTTGGTTGTTTTCTAATATTAAAATTGGGTATTTTACATTGGCTTTTTGTTATGTTAATTATTGTGATTACTATTGCTATTAGTTTATTACATGGGAGGTGGCTTTTTCTATTTTTCCTATTTTAGTGGTTGCTCAACAACTTATTTTTATGGATAAGGCTTATCTAATTCTTTGTATAATTCATTAAAATGCTATTCTAATTCTTGAGTCATTGCATATAATTAGGTGCCTTTGTTATTCATGGCATAGGACATTTACCAGATTTTTTTTATATCTCCCCAAAATTACGTGGCAGTAAGATACTCATCTAAATTAAGATTGGATAAGTTAAGTACTGTTTTTTAGATTTTATTCAACAATTTATAAGTCAACGTATTCGAATTCTTAAGGATAATTAACATTTTCTAATTTCCTTAGAAATGGAGCTGCTAACTAGTGTTTTTTTAATTTTTAGAGTAATGCTAAGCATCTTTTCATTTCATCAGTATTTTCTGCTCTATAAGGAGGTGCTACATATGTCTTTTTTGTGACTTTATTCTCCTCATCTGATGAAATATCCTATTAAAATTTCTAAAATTTTATTATTTGATTAGCAAACTTTAACATCTCTTTTTGATTATCTGCTTAAATTAATGCTAAAACCAGGGGGTAATCTCTTTGCAACCACTCTTGCTTATTCTGAAGTTAAGTGGACTTAAAAAACATCTTCGATTTGCTAGATATCAAAAATTTAAATTTAGTTATACACAAAAGGTCGTCATAGCTTCAATAACGATTTCTAGAGTAAGAGAGATTCTTTGGAAAACAAATTATTTTAATTATTATTTTTTGTTTATTCACCTTAAAAATCTTGATAAAAAAATGACCGGGGGTGGAAAAAATACATGATTAAAAATTAAAATAAGTTTGAGAGGTAATTATATTTTTTGAATAGAAAACTATTATTTTTGATGCCTCTCAAACAAAAGCATAACTTTATAATATTACATGAGTATTTAAGCTCTTTATAAATCTTCAATCTGTTCTAAATAATAAATTATTATATGTACAAGTCATTCATTTCGTGAAGATTGAATTAGTTTACAAATTTGACATCCTCCTTAGGGTCATTTGTTTATAATATCTTTCCAATTGGTTGATTCATTGAAATGATTTTGAAAGCAATTCATGTTCATCAAAAAATATTAATTAAATTAATATAGAAATAAACTCTTTTTTCAATTATCAACAAATACTTATATACTAATTCTATTATTCCATATTTATGATCAATGTGTTATATAATTCTATTTATCATCAAAATACTATTTATTTTATGAATAAAATTTGGAAAATACAAATTTATTAAAAAAAAGAGATGGCTTTTTGCTACTATTGATTAAACTAAATTGCAAAATGCTTGATTGATGCAAAATAATAATATTTCCATTTTTAATTTTTGAAATTGATATGCCACTTTGTTGATAATCAACTTAATCATTTCAATTTTAATTGAAAAATTTCATTATTTTATCTCTCTAACTTGTTCAAACATTATTATTATTTGAGAAATTAATCTCTTCTTGTTCATTTATGGTAACAATTGCATAGGTTCTTTATTATATATAAAAGTCATAATTTATAATTTTTCTATTATAATTTCTAAGACTACTTAAGAAATAAAGCAAAGCAAACTATCGTAGAATAAATGATTAAAATAATTGTATATTAATTTATATTCAAAATTAAGCAAAATTTTAAATTTAGAAAAAGTTATTAATTGTTTTATTCAGAAGATACATAAACACAAACATAAGATATATTTCATGACTTTACTCTTACTTAGCTATTTACCTAAATTAAAAGCTATTTATCCTAATTAAATCTAATAGAGTTATTTTAGACAATAAAGAAATTGTTCACCAATAGCTATTATGAGCTTTTAATCTTCACATTTATAGTGTACTATAACTATTATTTTTGTCAGGGTTAACTTTACATAATTTTTAATCTTAAATATGACATTATCAAAATCCTTCAAATTGAATTCAATAATAAGTATGAATTTTAATAAGAAATTTATTTGAAAACGTCATTAGTCTTTTGAGTTAAACCTCGTAATAATTGACCCAATTAGATTTCAAGATTTGAATGTTAAGATAAATTACCAGATCATTTATAGAATATTTTAATATTTTAATCATTCATATATAAATCGGATAGATATAATTTCCTTTATATTAGTAAAAATTAAATACCTTCTGGATAAAATGGAAAATTTAGAAATTGCTGATTCCGAAAAATTTATTGCTTACAAACTTACTTCATCAAAATGTAATGTTTTTATTTAAATTAAGGTTGGAAAAAACTCTTGTAGGAATAAATAAATGTTGAAAAATAAGCAAGATCTCACATTTCTGTATTACTCTCCAAATTCAATAAAAGAGCTCTAATACTTTATAATGGCTTCCTAAAATATGGTAATATCGATGCAAAATTAACACCAAAATATGAGATTAATATTAATAATTTGGTAGATGTAAGGTGTGAATTCTAAATTGAAAAGGCTCCATATAGAAATCAATTTTCTTATGGATATTACTTAGGTCGTTAAAAAAACTAAGAAATAATTTTCTAATTTACATTTAATTTTAAGAGAAAGCACTTGAGATATTTTAAAAAGAATTAATCAATCAAAGATAGTTATTTTTTGGATGAGAAAGATGAGAAAAATTTGGAGTGTTGGATTTTTAAAGGAAAATTAGATAAAGAATCCCAATGAGTAATTTCAAAATACATAGATTTGTTGATAAAATTATAATATGATAAGAAAAATGATCCAGGGCTTCTTAAAGAATTAGAAGAAATAAGATTGAGTTTTGACCCTAAACAACCATCAATTCTGCCGCCACCATGGCCTTCACTCCCAATTGATTATTACTTAATTAAATGAGATGACAACCAAAGGATTTTTAACTAAGATGAGCCATACCTATTAGTCAATTTAACTTTACTGAAATACTAAAAGAATATTAATTTATAAAGTCCTTTAGTTATTTGCCAAAATAAATATAATGAACATTAAATCTCTTTAATAATAAACACTAAAAAAATACAAGAAGGAATATTATTTATAGATTTAAATTTATTTTAGCAATAAAAAAATAGCTTTCAAGAAATATTATGTTAACCTAGTGAGAGCATTAATGAAGTTTAATTAATTTAATTTTGTTTAGATGACGAGAGGCAAAAAAGTTAAGGAGATAGTAGTTTATAACTACATTATAAAGTAAATAAGATAAATAATCAGAAATAGAAAGTTAATAATTAACCCTCATCATAAGTACCAAATACAAATAGTTTTAACAATCCAAACGATTAATCGTAATTTGAAAAAAATTAAAATAAGTTTGATCCACCAAATAATGAAACTTAACAAAAAGATGATTAATTTGAAATTAATAATAAAAAGGAAATTACAGATGTGATCAATACAAATGATTTGGAACTTCCTTTAGATGGAACTAAAGTAAAAAACTACAATTAATAGACTGAAGTACTTAATACTGGTACTTTAAATGGTCCCTTGGATGAAACTTAAATCAATACCTAAAACTAAGACAATTCAGTAATTAATACAAATAATATCAAACCTCCTTTAGATGGAACTTAAATGAATATCTAAAAATAAGATAATTCAGTAATTAACACATAGAATATCAAGCCTCCTTTAGATAGAACTTAAATCAATAACTAAAATTAAGACAATTCAGTAGTTAATACAAAGAATATCAAACCTCCTTATGATGGAAATTAAATGAATATATAAAATTAAGATAATTAAGTAATTAAATACAAATAATATCAAACCTCCTTTAGATAGAACTTAAATCAATAACTAAAATTAAGACAATTCAGTAGTTAATACAAAGAATATCAAACCTCCTTTAGATGGAACTTAAATGAATATCTAAAATTAAGATAATTCAGTAATTAATACAAATAATATCAAACCTCCTTTAGATAGAACTTAAATCAATAACTAAAATTAAAGACAATTCAGTAGTTATAATACAAAGAATATCAAACCTCCTTTAGATGGAACTTAAATGAATAACTAAAATTAAGATAATTCAGTAATTAACACAAAGAATATCAAGCCTCCTTTAGATAGAACTTAAATCAATAACTAAAATTAAGACAATTCAGTAGTTAATACGAAGAATATCAAACCTCCGTTAGATGGAACTTAAATGAATAACTAAAATTAAGATAATTCAGTAATTAACACAAAGAATATCAAACCTCCTTTAGATAGAACTTAAATCAATAACTAAAATTAAGACAATTCAGTAGTTAATACGAAGAATATCAAACCTCCGTTAGATGGAACTTAAATGAATAACTAAAATTAAGATAATTCAGTAATTAACACAAAGAATATCAAGCCTCCTTTAGATAGAACTTAAATCAATAACTAAAATTAAGATAATTCAGTAGTTAATACAAAGAATATCAAACCTCCGTTAGATGGAACTTAAATGAATAACTAAAATTAAGATAATTCAGTAATTAACACAAAGAATATCAAGCCTCCTTTAGATAGAACTTAAATCAATAAATAAAAGATTAAGATAATCCAGTAATTAATACAAATGACTTTAATTGTGCTTCGGATAGCCCTTAATTGAATAATTTTCAATTTCATTCAAAAGGATAATATCTTAAATAAAGTAATTAAGTTGAATCGAAACCCACCCATAAAAATTAATCTAAAAATAACTAATTTTAATAAACATAATCATCTACATCTGAAAACTTTATTTTACTTCATAGGCTTCGTGATAATTATTAAAGTTTCATCTAACATGTTTAAAATAAAATAGATCTACAATATATTAATATTTCATAAATTTTTTAGATAATTGATATTCAAAAATAAACTACTTAAAATGCAGATCCCTTATTTACTACTTTTAGTCTGGATTTAACATCTTTGAAATAATAAGAAAGATAATAAATTTAAGAATATGAATTTTATACAAATATTTGTTCTATTATTTTTACTGAAACATCAATTGCCCCTTTGCAAAACTCTATATTTTTATAAGGATTTTAGAACGCTTGTAAGAAACCATAAATACACAATTAAGAACCAGTTTAAATTGTTACATTTGATTCGGATTGATTAATATAGAATCCTGTTTCATTAATATTCTTTATAGCAAAAATATAATTTTACTTAACTAGAATTAAAAATGTCTGTAAATAATATAATAATTTTATTCATTATTAATTTTCGAAATATATTACCATTTAAATTTATAATTTTCCACCTAAAATTCATATCAAGTTTAGTATAAACTTATTGTTTCGAAATCGTCTGAAAAACTTTGAAACTATTTTGCAATATTCTTCAAAAGGTTGAGGAAAGTAAATAAATCATAATAAATTTATAAGAGTAATATTTTCAATTTTATAATATTTTCAGCAAATTTGATTAATTCAGAAACTATTTATAATAATTCTTAGTTAGAAACTGATAAAATGATTAGAAGAATCTGATAATGTAATAGAACTCAAGAAAAATATAAAGTAATATCTTAGATTTTACAAATTGATACATTTTCCTACAAATGTTTAGATTATAAGATAGTATTTAATTATGAATATTATTCAACATCTTCTTGATAACTAATTTCAATCCTATTACTAATAAATTTTATGTAAATACTTTTCTTCTATTGGGTTTTTCTATTAAATCCTAATAATTCCTTAATTCTTTATTTAAAACATTTACATTTAAGAAATAAACAATTTAATAAATACACAATACATTAAAATAATATTTTTGGTTTGAAAAATTAAAAACATTTTCCAATTCCATTTATCAGTATTTATTTCTAATCCTTTTTTATATTCATTTGACTTAAATTATATTCATTATTAATAAGATTATTTAATCTTGTTGCTTATTCTCATTCTCACTTTTAAATTATCTAGTGTTTATTTTTTGTTATAGATTTTGCAGATAATGTGATTATGCATGTGTATACTGATTATTTATTTAGATTAAAATGTAAAAATGCTCATTATTGCTTCTTTAATAATTATTAGAAAATTTAAAAATATTATACTCTTATTTCTCATTTATTTTTGGGTTTCCTTCTCCATTATTATTTTTATAAATTTTTCTCAGAAGATTAATGGTAAGGATCCATTAGATTTTTATATTTCTAAAGAATCTTCAATATTCTGAATGTTTTAAGCAATTTGATTTTATTCAGTAAAGAATAGTTCTTCTATCAATATTATAATGTTGAAATATATATCTGTTTGATTTATTAATTTAATTCAACTTTTTGGAATCCTTAATTTAAGTTGATAAATTTCTTTCAAATTGAACAATTTTTATTCTGTAATTTGGAACTCAGATTGAATAGAATTTAATATTTTATAAGTTTAATTAAATGTCGTTTATAATCTATAAATTTGTAAAATATAGTAAACTCTATAATCATAATAACTTTAGTTTCTCCATTATACATTTGAGTTTCTTTACTTATAGGGGTTTATTCAATACTTCTATCATGCCAACTTGCTTGCATTGTTCAAGATCTGACTTACTAGTAAAAGCTGTAAACCCCACTATAGGAATTGGTTTAAGTTGCCCTTATTAAAACTTTTATTTAAGTATTCTCGTGGTTTACCATCCATCTAAGACAGGCATTTGACAATCCATTAAAATTAGTAAATATTTACGGCAAAGTTAACCGCATGACTTTTTTTACTCAATCATTTTAATTGCTTATTAACCATTATAAGCGGTTTCAATTTCAAAATTGAATTTTTGCAATATACAAGTTAAGGATTACTAATTAAATATTTCATCATCAACTGAAAGAATGGTTCTGCAGTTACATTTTTAGTATTTCTATTCTTGTGATTTTTGAATTTTAAAATTTTTGGTCTTATCAATCCATCCATTCGTATATAATTGATTTAACTCAGAAACCAAATGATTTTATGCATCAGGAATCTTCATGAATTCATCAATAGCAGTATATGATGTTAATGACTTATTTAAAATTTACTTGCTTTCTGTTTAACTTTTAATTGTAATTAACAATCCATTATATTCATCTAAATCAGGCAATGTCAATATTTGATTATGTGTCTTTAAATTTTTTCTTGTTTTTACATAATAATCATAAATATTGACATGATTTGAAATTCTAAATTGTACAGTGGTTCCTAAACCCAAACCCAAAGAATTAATAATAAGATCATTATTTTGAAGAGGTCCCAAGTATCGTAATAGCATTTGAGACAAAATCAATCCAAAGCCATTCCAATCTTAAGTCGAAGTGTGATGATCTTTTAAGACATTCTGAATTTGGTTTAACTTTTCAGAGGTTATCCCTACTCCTTCATCGGCAATTGTGAATTCAATATTGTTATATTAATTGTCTGCGTTAATGGTAACCAAAACATACCCGTGTTGTGAATATTTTAATGCATTATAAAGCAGATTAACTAATATTTAAAGTAATCTTTGATAATCAGATTTGATTGTAGGTGGAATATTGTAATCTACTTTAAAGGCTAATCCAATTTTTTTGGCTTTGAATTCAAATTTGAATAATTATGTTAATTCTTAAGTTAATTCTTTCAAATAGAACTCAGAATATTGCAATTCCAATATTTCAGCATTAATTTATGAAAAGTCTATAATATCATTAACAAGATGGGATTGTCTGGTTAGTGATGATAGTCCTGGTAATATGTAAGCATCTCGAATGTGTTTATCTAATCTATTATCAAGTAAAGCTGATTTAAAGAATAGTGTGGCACTGTTTAATGGAGTACGTAATTCGTGACTAAATGAACTGATCATTTTAGATTTGAATTCTTCTTACTCTTCAAATCTTTATAACTTATTTTATCTTGTGTAATCCTAAATGATAACTGTCATTTCAACTTGATCAGGACTATAGAGTACCTTAAGATTCAAATGAATAACGTTATTAACATTCAATTAATATTTACAATATAGTTCTAGAGTGTGATCCTGGTCATTCAATTAATTATCAAAGAATCCATCTTACAGTTTATTGATTATTTGATTAAGTGAATATACCTTTTATGGGTGATGAATTTCAAATTCGCTTATGTTTTTTGAAGATTCTGAACCTTTTTTTTTGTGTGTATGGTAAGATTATGTTAGAGTCCTTCCTGGGAATTCGACTTGAATATTGGCCTTGCTTTGCTTCATACTAAAGTAGTGTGAGTAATAGCTTCTTTTGTATTCAGATCCTTAATCAATGATTTTAAATTTCAATTGATTTAATAAATATGCTGGGTAATCATCGAGTTCTATCTGAAGAGTTTTGGTCATCATTTGATCTAGATACTAATTTTTATAAGTGAAATCGTTGGTATTTTTATCAATTAATGCGATTCCAACTGGTATACTTTTTAATCTTTGTTTCCAAATCTTATCTTAAAGTTAAGATTAATGACAAATTTCTATGGATATTTGTTCTGACTGCTTTAGTGGTCTTCCTGAAGACAATTAGATAGAAATATTGGATTTTTTAAACGGCAATTCATGATTGTCAAGAAATGAATCCATTTTACCTGAATTTGGTTGATCTAAATCAATAAACTCCTTCATTTCTTTATGTGATGACTAGAGCTATAATTAATTCAATTGATTTTATAGTTATCGATTTTATATTTGTGATTGCTATAACTAAATTGAGCTCTTATTTGTAATTTTTTCAGCGATTGACCAAAATATTTATTATGGGGCTGAGGATATGAAATATACAAACATTGTCATAATCAAAAATAGTTGATCATTTAATTGTTTATTTAACGTTGCACTTACGCTAGCGTAAAATATGACAGCATATTAGAAATTTAAGAAAAACTATTTTTTTTCAATGAGGGCTAAAATGGGTTGAGTATCAGATATGATGTAAAGTATTAAAGTAGTGCAATCATAAAAAGTGCGTTAAAAGAAAAATGATGTTATTAGTGCTATATTTGATAGTTTATGGATGACAATCACAAAGGTTGTATGCTTCTTGATAAAAATGAGGGATGCTAAGCATTCTAAAATATTCAAAATCAAACAAATAAATAAGGCTGAAAAAGTACATCTTATTGTAAGTACAACTGTCAATATAATACTACTTACAAAGAATAATTGAATTGGATAATAATTTTTCATTTATTTTAAACATTAATAATCTTTTTAGAGAGTCAAAATTATGCTAAGAAATAAAAGACTAGCACCAATCATTACACAATATTATACAAATATTTAATTTTTGTGAATACCATAAATTTTCTAGAATGCAGTCAGTAATCTGAATTCAATTATCCAAAATTAAATAAATATAAATATGCTGAAATTTGATTTATATCGTAAGTTGCCATAGGATTTGATAGAGCCATCGAAATCAGGTGCATTGATCTCTTTTACATCATTGATTTTGATGTTTATATTATTTATTACAGAATTCTAGGTAATTCAAAGTCATAAGGAAAGGAATATCTCACTCAACAAGTATAAACAGAGATGTATATCGATTAAAATAAGGATGATAAACTTTTAGTTAATATGGATATCTCATTTCCTAATATGCCATGTGATTTTATAAGTATAGATTAACAAGATGTAATCGGAACTCATTAATAAAATGTTGAAGGAGAGCTGTACAAAAGCAGAACACTAAATGGGAAAGTCATTGATAAATATGTAAAAATTAAATAGTAATTATTTAGTTATCAACAAATGATTCATTGAATTTGGAGAGAGCCTAGTAAGCATACCAATAAAAAGAAGGCTGTGATCTGGCTGGATATATCATAATAAGTAGAGTTCCTGGTAACTTCCATATATCTGCTCACCCATATGGAGGGTAAGTGAATATGGTACTGCCTTTTGTTGGATTGTCAGTCATTGATTTATCGCATTCAATAAAACACCTGTCCTTTGGAAAATAAAATGACATATAAAAAATTAGGGAGAAGTTCAAATAAGGGCTGCTTAATCCTTTAGATGGCATACGCAGAATAAAGACATAGGAACTAACAAATGTTGGAGTGACTCATCAATATTATATTTCTATTGTTCCAACACTCTACGTTGACATCGATAATAAAGAATATTTTGTAAATCAATTTGCAGCCAATACAAACGAAGCTTAGACAACATAAATGCCCGCTGTTTACTTTCGATATGATATATCTCCTGTTACTGTCCAATTTACTAAATATTATGAAAGCTTTAATCATTTCATCGTCCAACTTTGTGCTATTCTGGGGGGAGTATTTACGATAGCTGGGATCATAGATTCCATATTTTATGCATGTAATAGTAGATTTAATATTTAAGTACAGAAAACTATGGTTGTTTTGGAGTAATGAAAATGATAATTAAATTATTTATTGTCATACATATATGTGAGTATTTAAATAATAATTTATTATATGTCATTAAAGGACTTTCAGATATTGCAAGAATTAGGTATTGTAAATATGCAAATTAGGTGAGGGAGCCTATTCTAAAGTATTTAAAATAAAAAGAATCGCAGATTAATAGGAGTATGCTCTTAAAAAAGTTAATTTGCAGTCTCTTTCTGATAAAGAGAAATAAAATGCTCTTAACGAGGTAAGAATATTGGCCAGTGTAAGACATGCTAATGTTATTCAATATAAAGAAGCCTTTTTGGAAGAATAATCTTAAACATTATGGTAACTATTTAGATGCAATTATTTTAAGCATCGTAATGGAGTATGCAGATGATGGAGATCTCTATTAAAAAATAGTAGAATGTTAAAAGAAGGGAGTTCTTATGTCTGAAAATGACATTTGGAATATATTAATATAAGTATTTCTTAATCCATATTAATATTACAGATTGTCAAAGGTTTAAAAGCATTGCATGATATGAAAATCTACCATAGAGATCTGAAATCTGCAAATGTCTTCATGAATACAGACGGAACTGTCAAATTGGGAGATATGAATGTCTCCAAAGTTGCAAGAAAAATATTACTCTACACCCAAACTGGAACTCCCTATTATGCTTCTCCAGAGGTCTGGAAAGATCAACCTTATGATTCCAAATCTGATATTTGGTCATTGGGATGTGTCTTGTATGAAATGACAACATTAAAGCCACCTTTTAGAGCTGAGGATATGAATGGTTTGTACAAAAAAGTTGTTAAGGGTTATTATCCAAAAATACCTACCATCTACAGCTAAGATTTAAGCAATGTAATCAGAGCTTTGCTTTAAGTTCAACCACACTTGAGACCCAGTTGTGACAAAATACTTTAATTGTCTGCTATAGTAAATAGACTAGATGATAAAGTTTTGGTTGAGGAAGAAGGAGCTAAATTTTTATTATAAACAATAAGAGTTCCCAGAAATATGCATTATTTGACAGATAGATTGCCAAAACCTAATTATAATCCAATTAGAATGACTAAAATTGATAAATAATAGTTCATCTAGACTTTGGCCATTTAGAAATTAAATTAAGAAAATTTAGAGGAAAATCATTCATTGCATGTTGATTTCTTGCCTCGTTTAAATAAAAGAAATGAGGAGAGTCTTGATAACTCAGTTGTCTCAAGAAATAACAAAAAAGTTGATGATATTTAATTGGACAACGTTAATAATAAGAATAACTAAATTAATTAAATATATGGAGTTGGCATCCATCCGAAGAAAAAGGATTTAAGAATTTCAAATAAGTCTTAAAAGCATGATCTGAAAGCAATAAGAAGAAATGAATTGGATGGGGACCTGAAGCCTTTGATTATAAAATCGTAAAATATTGTTTCATGATAGTTATAGCCCTAAAAATGCAAGCGATGATAGACAACCTTTATTGCCACTCTTGCCTAGCATTAAAAAAGATGTTTAAAGATAAAATGAGGATGAACAATTGAAAAAGATTAAACAAACTGAAGAATTAATCTAATAATTAAAATAAAAACAATAAAAACACAAGAGAATCTAGAAATTATGATTAACTGATTGATAATAGAATATTTTAATATATCAAACTTTTTATACATCTGTTACTTCTAAAATTTCTCCTATTTTTTGATTTAATTTAAGAGTGTACTTTATATCAGTTCTGCATAAGAAACATTGTTTTGTAGTTTTCTTAAGATTTTCAGAGCAAGATGTACAAATACCTCCGTGGTTGCATGGACTTAAGATAATATCTGGTTCATTTTCAAAGCAAATTAAGCAAATATCGCAAGAATCTTAATCTCTTGGTATTGATTTCATCTATTTCATCATAGTTAAGCATGGAGATTATCTAAAGTTAAGAGAATCAGGTCGTAAAACATCACTACAGATTGGAATTGAACTTATATTTCTATTATTCATTTCATTAATCTTTTTCTTTGATACTAATTTATAATATGAAGCAGAAATTCGAATGAACATAACAGGAATTTTGAGTTTAGACCATTTCTTCTTTGGAGGTTCTATTTAGGGAGATTGAGGAATTGGTACTTGAGTTTACCTATTTTCCAATTTTAAAACAATTCTATTTTGATAATGAAATTTTAAATACATCAATTGCTTTCTGATTTTATTAGTATAGTAACTAAATGAGATAAGGTAGAGAATGATAGAAATCAAGACAGTAATACCAGCTATTCTAATATTAATTTAGATAGTATCCCTTTCATAAAATTAGCATATCTCTTTTAATAAGAAGAATGGAATAATTGTTAATCCAAAAATATAATAAAGTAACCATAAAATGATAGATCCTTGATATTTGAACATAATACCATCAATTTCAGGAATATCCTTTTGAAAACACTTTTCAACAAAAGCGATAAGCAACAAGACCATCAAAAATGTGTTGATTCCCAATGCTGTCCACGTAATGATGAAGGTTTGATAATATGAATAAACAAAATACTTATTCCACTTCAAAGATAACAATAACAATTATAGGATATAAAGAATTGAATAGGAATAAGCAATCTATATAAATTTAAATTATACGATAAGGTTCTTTCTTTTGTTTCTCTCCTATTGTATAACTTAATGAAATAATATTCCGATCGTCACAATTATTTAAAGAGCTGGAATATAATACAAATTGATCTCCTTAATTTCAAAATGTATTATTATTGTGATCTTATAAAATTGGAGATGCAAAAATAGTACTTTAAATGAAACACTTAAAACTTTTTCAAGAAAATGGATGCCAGAGATTGCTTTGGATATGTTTTTGTCGAGTAATATAACAATGAATGTGATTAAATCCATTAACCAAGCAAAGATAATTATGTATTTAGAATCAAAGAGCCAGATGAGCTTTAAACTAAAGATTAGCATGTAGAATTAGCACACAAAATTGAATAAACATATACGATTAACTTCATTGGAAAACTATGATTAATTTTACAATACTTAACTTCTAGGTCGACTTATTAGGATCTGATTTGGTCTTGGGATTGACTCATAAACCTAATAGTTATAAAAATAATTTAACTATTTGATTCAGATAACACTGTTGTATTTATAAAATAAAGATTTTTATTAACTTACAAATTATAAAGACAAAAAATTCATTATAAAAAAGCACTCTATCTAAGTTGTTATATTGTTGCTCTTTATAATGGATCTTACGAGAAACACATTAGAAGAAAGTTCTTTAATTCTTCAGAAACGTAGCCTGGAATTTTAGGTGATTCTTGATTAAATGCAATTGCGAGAAGTGTTGATGCAACATTATCAAAATCAAGTTATTCAAACCAAGGATGTTTCCCAGTTAACATCTCTAAAATCACACATCCAAATGACCAAATGTCTGCTGGAGTATCAATTTGTTCTTATCTAACGACTTCTGGGGCCATCCAAGGAACACTCCCTTGAAGAATACTCTGACATAAATCTTGTTTGATATGTCTGCTACAACCAAAATCTGAGATTTTAATGTCACCACATGAGTCTAACAAGATGTTACTAGATTTTAGATCTAAATGTAATATCCCTTTATTATGTAAGTATTCTAAGCCGTTGAGGATTTGATGAGTATAGGTTTTGATAGTTGACTCTGTCATTGGGCCAAATTCATTTAATAATTGAGAAATTGAGCCTATAATAAATAAATTGAATCATACCCATTGGCATATATTCTTAATAAATTAATAAACTATCCTTGGTGGACACATGAGATATATATTTGATTATGTTTTGGTGTTATAGGATTTATAGAAATGACAGTTCAATCTAATTAAATTTGTATATCTTACATCTACTTTTTACTGATTCTTGAATTTGAACAGTATTTTTTTACAAGCCACAACCTCGCCAGTATTCATGTTCATTGCCTGATATACTTGAGCATTTGAACCAGAACCAATCAATCTACCTAGTTTGTATTGGCCATCCTTTTAAGCACAATCTTTAATTTGAATGAATCTATTTATTGGCGCAAGGGTGACATGATGCTTGTTTTTTGTAGGAACTTTCAGAAATCTATGCTTCCCATTACTGTATTTATAATTAAAACATAAGTACCTTTAACTAGCGGCTCTTATTGTATTATTTACAGACCTCATAATTTTTACTTTATCTAACTAAACAATTATCTAAGAAATAAATTATATATATATATTTATTTAATCATATAAATATCTCGATTCTCATATCTTTAATTACAATTAATAAAAAGAGTGTTTCTGAATCATTCTTTACTTCAAGATTTTCATATTATATCAGAAAAGCTAAGACATAAGACTCGCTCAAACATATATCAGCTAAATAATTAACTTCAATTAAATAGGTTAAAATAAAATAATAAAACTTATTCCAAATGTTGAAGAAATTGCAATAGTCAGCCAAGGGAGCATATAATCAGAGATTTGGAAATGAGAAATATGAAGAAATGGAAGAAGAAAAGAACAACAAGTAAGCAGATTCGCTATTCTCATAATTTAATGCTACTCTCCAATTCAATCAGACCGATAACAACTGCTGTAATCAACATTTATATTTAAGAAATAAATAATAACCAGGAGCAAGTTATCGAAATTTCAGACAGAACTTAAATAGATTTCACTAAAGCACTCATACCAGAAGAACTGAAATAATAAATGCAGGAAGAAGAAATTAAGGAGATTGCCATTGAAAACAACAAAAAGAGTTACAAGAAGCCTAAAAAAAATGATGATATGCCAGAATTTTTAACAAAAAAAATATGTTTAAATGAAAATGGTGAAAACTACTACGAAATAGCAGCCAAAAAAGCAAAGGAATAAAACAGTACTATGTTCTAATTAAAACATTTTGTAATAACAAAGGCTACAAGTGTGCAATAACAGGTCAAAGTAATTTTTATTATATATATCCTTAGAAATCTCTCAAAAAACTAGATGCTCATGTCAAAAAAAAAATTTTAGAAAAGAAACAACATATCAACCTTTGGATAGCAGGACAATTAGATGCTAAAATTGTATCTTTAATGAGTAACATGGAACCAAAAATAACAGAGAGTGTAAAGAAATCAGTCCCTTTTGATTTTATGTAAGACTTCATGCATGATGCAGCCATTAATTTGTGGAAAGATTTCACAGATTTAGTCAGATTAGAATTAAGGGCAAAATTTGATAGTAAGAAAGTTGAAATCAAGAAAAGAGAAGTTAAAGGTCCTTTAAATATATTAAGAAATTTTATCCTTTATTCCCTTTATCCTGCAGATCTCACAACTAAAGATCACATGAATAGAATTTCTTTTAAGGTGCTGAAATTATGTCAATACATACCATATGTGGGTATATAACCATTAATGTTTTGTATCATTCTACTTTGTATCAACAAAGTAAATTATAAATTTATAAATTAGGAAGAATATTAATTAGTTAATTACATAGCAGATTATAAGTCTATATAGTTTTTAACTAATGGAATAATTCCCTGTCTAATTGCCTACTTCTATTATTTTTTCTATGATCAAGGACCATCATATCATCAGCCTATTTTTGTGCTCCTTTTCACATTTTTGGCTCAGTGTATTAATGTTTGGATAGCTTTTTATTTGTTAAAAAGGTCTCATTCCCAGGGGGAAGTTTTAAAAGCAGAACTAACAATAACATAAGAAGAGAAAGGAGGTAGATTAAAATACTTTTTAATTTATGATCTGATTTGTTTAGTTGTAACTGTTTGTGCATCAAGTATGATTCTAGAATATATACTTAGTTATTGTCTATTTCTCACACACAATGAATGACCCAAGATAATCATTTGGAGATTTGTTATTTTTTGCAAGAACAATATATGCATTTTTCAGTTTCCCTTTCATAATCTTTATGTTACCATTTTTTGTTAAATTATTAACAAATGCAATTGCAACTGGCTATGATAAATATGGAAATTGCATATAAGCCTTGAATTCTATTTAAATGACTTACAGAGAAGCAGCTTTAAACAGGAAAGAAGACATTGATATTGAAGAAATTATTGATTAAGATTAGGATGACTAACATAAGGATGATAGTAAGCTTACAAATTAAAATCAAGGATTTAATAAAACTGTTGGCTGATTTGATTAAATATTTATAAGTATCGCATTTTATGTAATTTAATATCTTTTTTTTCCCTTTAGTTTTTAATTACGATATTCCTATTTCTCTTATGTTATTTCTTGTTATTTTCACTAATTCATTTTTAACCCAGATTGGAATTATAATTAACCCTTTTCTTTTAAAATCTCTTTTTATTTTATACATTATTAAATTATTTCCATTTTTCTACAACATCATCATCTTCCTTTAATAAATGATATAAGCAATATCACCAAATATTGAAAAGGCTTATTGCAACAACTAATAATTTGTATGAGAAATGTTAAGAACACTTATTGTACACCCTTCCTACCCTACCTCATTAATAAGAGTGACATTAAATTCTTGAGTTTTAAATTGCAATTAAGCTTGTTCTTCTTCTTGAAAATATGGAAGTAATGACTGCTGATTATATTGGATAGTATATGTAGATGCTATTTGAATTTTATACTCATAGAAGGTATTTTATATTGCAAGATATATCGGTGGCATTATTTATTTAAATGGTTTTGGATTTTATTTAAGTAATACACAAATTTCAGTAAAAAAGAGATTTTTATATTAATTTCTTATTCGAATTAATTCTCAAAAATAAAAATTATAAAAATACAATGAGAAAATTAATAGAAGTAAAATAATACATAATCAAACTTTATAACTTCTATTTTAACTCTTTGCATTCCTTCCAGGACCTATTGAAAGATTATCCATAGTATAATTAAGTATCTTACATTCCTGCGAACTTTCTAGCTTCTTGAATTTTGCTACATTTTCTCTAACTTTTGATCTTGAATTTAATTATTAGACCTTACCTTGATTTTGGAATTATTTGAAACTTCTATAGGCTTCCTTCAAAATCATCAGATTCGGTTTGTACTCTTATGTTTTCGCCATTCCTTTGGCCATTCAAAAATTTACTATGTGTGTTATTAAAAGAATAACTATTAATTTGAGTAGTTCTTTTATTAAAAGTAGTGCTATAAATATATGAATTTCATATACTTATTACTATGATTATTAATTTTACGTTATTAAGCAATTTTTAAGATTTGAAGGATCTACTTAGATTATTTCTTCTTCTCAGATGAAATTGTAGGAGTAGCTCTGAAATATTGATTTTTTTAAGCTTTATTGGTTACACTATCTCGATTTAGATTATTATTCTAACTAACCGGATTCATATTAACAATATAATGATCGATGATTCTTCCAATTGAAGTGCTGGATTGATTTTGACCAGGGGGCTTCTGGGAGCTAATTATAAAGGAGAATAAGAACTTTGGCTGTTTTGGAATGGAAGTGTTGAGTTTTTGAATGGTATTTTAGGAAGAGTCATTTTCTATTGATTCGGTCAATTTCGATAGCTTTTCATTCAAGGCCTTCATAAATTGGGGAGAGGTGGCATCAGTCAAACGCTCTATATTGTTGCAATTAAGATTATAAATTGTAGTATCTTTGAGAGATTAAAGAGAATTATCAGATGAGGATTCATAATCTTCTTTAGGGAAGCAAAATGCATGATTAATTTAGCAATTCTAATATCTACCAAATGATTTTTTTAGTACTTAAATTCAATTTCCTGTTTAAAATCCATAGGTTCTTGTTCTTCATCTGGTTAAGTTTTAATTATTTATTGCACTGGACCTTAGGGTTTGTTGATCTTTTATAAAATGTGATATTTCATTAAATCTTTGTCAATGTTGCCTTATTTATTTATTTGAGGACTCTTTGATTTTTTAATTCTGTTGGACATTATAATAATAGTATATAAATATATATTAATAATTAAACTAAATAAATATGTTTGAGTCAAGCAAGAGGATATTTTTTTATGTTTGTTTTCACTCTTGATTAGTTGATAAGCCATTGCTAAACATTGCTCATTAGAGAGATGAGCTTATTCAAATACTTATTAATTTTACTAACCTCGAATCTATCATACAATCCTGACAAATGATTGACATTGTTGAAAGCATTCTTATCATTTGCTAAACAGAGATATTAATACATTTCAAGTTTTCTATTTGGAGTCATGTGACTCAATAAAACCCTATCTTTTATAACCCCAATATTGAGGTGTGGATTCGATATCACTAATTTAGACATATCAAATTGGCCACCAGATTCCAGAATTTGTGAATTAAACTTAGGTTTCTTCTATCTGATGTTAGTATTGGCTTCCTCTTTGACGGTTTTTGGATCAGGTATTTTCCTTTAAAAATACTTACCAGAACCAACGAATGTAACTTGTACCTGTTAAGGCTAAGTTAATACAATTTCATAGCATTCGTCGTCTGATGTTACAACATCAATATCAACTACTTAATGTTCCCTATTAATTCTATTTGATAGACTTCCTTATTCTAATCTACTTTGAGCTAGAACTCTCACTCTGGAATCTGGAACCTTTGTATAAATCTAGATGCAAAATACTTCACAATATCCTCCAATCATCTTCTCATGAAATTACTTAGCCTTTTCGATTTAGCCAACATAGAAGTAATATTTGCCCAGCAAATCGTAAGCATAGAGTTCGTGATTCTTTTCGTTTAACTTCCAAGCTGACATCAAGTACTTAGTAAAATAGAGTTAGCTTAATTTGGGCCTAACTCTTAATAGACATTCTCCCAAACCCCTATAGGCTTTCATTTTGTTTCTATAATACTATTCATTATCAGATAGACGTTTGCATAACTTAAAGTAAATCGCCCCAGATATTGGATTAAAAAATAACTACTCCATCTTACCAAAAATATAGCAAAACCTTTATTGAATGCAAACATTCTTCTGTTTAAAACACTCCTACATTATTTCCTTCATTTCCTATTCACTCTTCTCTCTGTTCTATTTGTATTGCTACAAATATTATAATTTCTTAATTAAGATATCAATACTTATTGAGGCTTCGTTTAAGTATCTTGATACATAATTTTCGAACTCTATGGCGTCGATGGTTTATATGTCTTTGAGACTCGCCATCTCGTCAGAATAACACTTGATAATACTTGAGGATAATTATTGCAATCTGGTGCTTTTGTGACATATATCTTGACTATTTGTTGAAGGAACCTTTTTCAAGTTAAAATAATCAGCCCTTTTAAAATTATTGCGAGATTTCTTCTACGATCGTATATTATTCAAATAAATTGGATTGACGATCTTCGAATCCTCTTCCTGTAACTCCATTCTATTCAATTCGCTTGAGCTAGTTTTAAATTTGAGTGAGGTGTTAATCAAATATCTCCTATGCGATTTTTGAGTTCTTGAGAAGTCAGTTCTTGAAATTCCAAAACTATCCGTATTTGTACTTTCTAGTTTACTCTTCAATTTCTTCATAGTTTTTATATATTATTTATATTAGATTAAAATTAATGTAAAATAATTGCAAACTGTGTGGGTAGAGTTAACAAATGCTCATTCTAGAGAAACTGCAATTGAAATATTTCGAAGCCTTCAACTTCTACTTTGCAAAACCCATCAATGAAATTCTATCTCAAATACCTAATACTCCTCATGTAATCTATTTTAAGGATTATGTGATATTAGATGAACAATAAGAATACATGAAAAGGTAGTAGAACTTCCTTAACATGTAGATATTACAACAAAGACGAAGTCAAACCCAGACTAGATATTTTGACAGACTTTTATGTGACAAATTACAAAGAGGTTCATCCCAACTTACTAGTTGTTGAGAGTCATGCTTTGCTGACAAAAAGAAACAAGAAAATTGATAAACTATATTATTAGAGAATGCAAGAGAGTGAAAATCACACTCAATCATAGAATCCTGTTGTTGTTAATAATGTCCTCAATTCAAAACTATCATCTAAATCTCAAATCAGTTACGAGACTGAAGAACACGATATCTATTCTTCTGAGGATCAACCACAGAAACAAAATCGCTTAGATTTCAAAGGCATTAGTCTCCTCAACGATTTTGAAGACAGCAAATTATATCATGAATTATTGGATAAGCAATATCACACTATTAATAAAATGACCAACAAAAATAAATTACTCTCTCCAAATTTTTACATCAGGTCTCCTCCCCTAAGTCAATAAAACATTTAAACCAACCTCATTAAGGATCTGCATACAATGAAAAGTGTCCAGAGAAGAACCAATAATATGGATCTCAGGGAGAAGAAGGGTATTTGAATTTCTATATTCTCTCTAGCAATTTTCGCTAATTCCAAGAGCGAATCAAAGCATTCTCAATCGAGTTTCAAGATTTCAAAAATCAAAGACTCAGTCGATCAACAAGTTGATTAGTTTTGTGATTGTGTCAACGGATAAATTGAGCCATCTGACATGGAAGGTAAGAATAAGATGTCTAGAATTCAGAGTGATAATTTCACTATTTAAAAGATGCTTAAGGAATATTAGGGTAATCAGAAAAGATAATTAAAATCCACAATTTCATAAGACCAATTAGTTGCAAGTACATCTACTCTTATATAGGGATTTTAAGGTTCTTAAAAAAGTATTAAATAAGATCAAAATAACAATAATGGTAGTATATAAAATATATCATAAAGACAAGAATAAATTAAGAAAGTCTATTAACCAGTCTCATAAAAAAAAATAAACTAAAATTAATTAGATCGAATCACAAAAGGAGGTTGTCTAACTGATAGAAATATGAAATAGTTGCCCATTTCTGAAGACTTGTTTACCAAGTTGCATGATATCAAAATCAAAAGTTCATAAAATGCAGAATCCATCAAAAAACCTGAATCCAATTACATGATACCCTCTCAGTATAATGCAATGTCCACTTTCAAAGTAGCCAACAATAACAAAGCCAAATCTCAATACACCAAGAAAACTGCAGGATTTGATTTCGCTACCAAATCATAACATTAGCAATAGGCGAATCATAGCCAATCGAAATTACTGAATATCAACACACAAAAAACAGATGATATTGTAAAAAAGTACATTTAATTGGCCACCCAATCTATATAAAATCATAAAAAATTTGATTTCAAATTGAATCTTTAAAACTTAAATAATCATAACGAACCTCATTTAGATGAAGAATTCTGTATTTATAACACATTATTTTTAACTAGAAAACAAACGTCTAAATTTTCTTACTGAAAGACACAGTTAATAATATTAGGAAAAAGATTAATTTATTACTCATAGAAAAATTGTGATTAAATGAACGTTTTGATATTTTCATCATTAAATTATATTCAAAAAATAATAATTTCAAATCTAATTTTTCTATTTTTTAATAATTCTTTAATTTATATAAAGAATTTATAAATTATGAAGCCAAGAAATAAAAATATTTTAAATTTTTATGGAGAATAAATATTAATACAAATATCGAATTAAGGATGGAATTTAATGCACAAAAGAATGTGTTTGAATTAGTAAAACTATCTTTTCCATAATACACAGAAGAAAATACATTAATCAATTGTAAGAATTATTTATGTAGGATTTTGAATCTAAAAACTAAATATTAAGTATTAGATGATATCATAATAGAGAAGGAAATAAATGAAAATGAGAATGTATAAGTAAACTACTATAAAAATAGAAAGTACTTTAAATGAGATTACGAGAATGCTTCACAAAACTACTGAAATCTAAAATTTAAAAAAATTAAGAAATAATTCATTTTATACTCAGAGTAAGTTAATTAGGAAAATAAGAAATCTCGAACAACAGTTAAGAATAGCTATTTTTTGAAAATTCAAATATCATTAAGTCGTCTATCGATATTGAAAATCAATAGACAACTAATCAAACTATCAACAAACTAGATAATAGTTTAATCACAAGTATAATACTAGAAAAATAATAAGTAATAAATTACAAAAATATAGAATAGTATTACGTAGGAGGTGAATGACAAAGATTTAATGAAGGATATACTATTTTGTCTTTAGGGAATTGAAGGCTAATATATTCAGTATGATGCATCATCAGATTCATTTTGCCTAAGGAAAGATGTTAATATTTCAATATCAGTACGACAACTAGTAAACTTGATTTCTGAATGCGGATGGTTATACAAGAAGATTTCCTCTTTTTGTCAGGTCCAATAACCAAACCTGATAGTCTAAGCACTTCAAAATGTAATCAAATTAGAATTATCAGAATATTATAAATTGATTGCAAATCTTGAAGGCATGATCCTGTCTTCATAATGTAATGTTACAATATTATTTAGTAATCACATTTAAGAGAATTCACTTTCATCTCCAATCCTCTTATGACTACATGATATAAATAAATCAATTACTTTCAATTATTCAAACTAGTACTCCCCTTGGAGCTACATCTTGTTTAATTATTAATGTTTTAGATCAATTTTCAAAGCATGGATGCTCTCAAATGGCAGAACTATTCGCACGTCTACAGAAAGCAAGTTGCTAGCCATTAATGAAGTATATAAATGAATGGATCTTTGAAGGGAATCTACTGGATATAGCGAATGAATTCTTTATAGAAAAGGATGATTAAAAGGCAATAACTAAGGATTAAGGAGAATTATGGAGAAAATAATATAGGATTAATTATGATAAGGTCCCAGTTGTTATTTCTTATGATGAGGCGTATAAAATCTATGACACTGGTAGAGCTATAAATTGGTTGAGAATATAATGTGATAATAGGAATTGGTATCTAAAAATTTAGCCATTAACCATCAATATTCTTTAGACCAAGGAATTATCTTAGTTGATAAATTAAGCTAACAAAAAGACAAATACTGAATTAGTTAATTTACTATTTGGTAAATTCAAATTAATGGATCATTTCAATATTATTAAATAGTACTTCCTTTTGGGTAACGGTAATTTCTCTCAATTATTGATTGAAACCCTATATAAGGAGTTATCAAAAAAAGGTAACTTAGTTTATAAACATACTTTGACTGGGTTAGTTGAATCTACACTCAGAATGAGCAATGCAAAGTAGATAGTATTATAGAGATTGTCAGTTAAATTGTTGGAGGCCCAAAAAAATGATATAGGTTGGGACATCTTTTGTTTAGATTATGAATTTGAAGAACCACTGAGAACATTATTTAATCGCAAGACTATGCTCAATTATTATAAAATATTCAATTATTTATGGCGTATTAAAAGAGTGGAATACACTCTAATCTAATCATGGATGTAATAAATTAAAAACAAATGTTACTTAAACGTTAAGTCAAATGTAAATAAGGCTCTTCATTTGAGTTTGTAAATCATGAATTCAATGATCCATTTCATTAAAAGTTTCTTTAGTTACTTGATGTTAGATGCAATTGAAGCTCCTTGGAAAAAGTTCATGGATTAAATTAATTAAATAGAAAATTTAGATCATCTCATTCAATTACATGAACAACTGTTGAATGAAATTATTGATAAAGTATTCTTGAATTAAAAACAAGAATAAATTCAGATAATCTTACTGAAACTATTCGAAATTTCATTCAGATATAAATAGAATTTAGAGCATCTATTTCTGTATGTGAGAGAATTGATGGCTAAGGATAGAAGTGATAGGTTTGAGTAATCAATGGATCCAAGAGTATCACATAAAACTACATCAACTTATAGTATCAATATTGATCCAGAGTTTAAAGGATAAGAAATTATTAAATTATTATTGCAATTAAGATAAATGCATAAAGAGTAAATATTAGAATTGATTAAGCAACTATAAAACGAAGAAAAAATGAAGTTTTTATTATTGAAACTTGATTTCAATGAGTACTACAACTTATTATCATAAGAAAAACTGTTTTCATTAGGTTTTGAAAAGTAAAATTTATTATAACTATTACAGATTTTTACAATAATGTCCAATCCAAATAAATGAAACTGTTTGCCAGAAACAAATATCTGAACAGCCTCAAAGTTAATTATTAAAACCTTCTATTCCACAATTAAATCAAAAGTCAATGACCTTTATTTAGCAAGATGATATTTAGATTAATGAAGGAAGTATTTATTTCTTTTATCAAAGTAAACCATTTAGAAGAATAAAAAAAATAGAAAAAACTAAAGTCAAAATAATAGATATAAACAATGTAAAAAGAAGCAACTTCTGAGTTATAAAATCCTATGTCCAAACTTCCTATGCCATTTCCATAACCATAATAACCTATAATTACTATGAGTCCGATTAATCAATAATCTTTATCGGATAGTAATATTCTCCAATCTTAATCTTTAAAGAGCGTCTAATAATAGTTTTCATAAAAAATTCTACAATAGACATAAATAAACCATACTATGCAATAGTTGCAATAACAATAATAATAATAGATGTAACAACAATAACATTACGTACAATTATAATCAAAAGCTAAACCTTAATTATCCAGAAAATCCATTGCTCCAACATCATAAATATACTAGATCTAGCCTTCAGCTCAACCAAATTTTAATAATTCTATCCTCATTTTCCAAAATCAGAGCTAATCTTAGATTAGTGTTTTATAACCTAGTAGAAATGATATGTCATTATCATAAGATGAAAACTTACAATAATTAATGGATAAAGATTTTTGTTTTCACGATAATAATAAAGATGGAGATTTAATTTGAATAAAATATATATAAATAATTAATTAATCATAAATTTTATATCTATACTTTAGAAAAAAAGAATTCATTGTTGAGTTTTGGATTAACAGAATTTCAGAGAACATTTAACAAGTCTTAAATATGCCAAAAAGAGTAAACCCTCATAATCAATGAAGTAAAAAGAAATCAAAGTTAATTAGAATTCATCCCCTGTCTTAATCCCATACCAAATTCGTAATTGCAGTTAAGCCATCCTAAAATAGTAATCATCATTAAAAAGATAAAAATAACAACTATCAAAGACATTTTAAAACAAATGAAAACCTAATGAAATCTTAATTTTTCATTATGCTTTTTATATTTTACATTTTTGTCACTATTGATGTTGACTCAACTAGACAAATATTATTTACATTTAGAACATTTTATACTTGATTACAATTATGGATTGTTTCAAGGAAAGATTTTCATTTAGAGAAAAATAATTAAATAATTAAAATTTGTATTTATTTTTTTAATAAAGAGTTTTATTTAAGTTTATAGAAAATATCTTAATTTTTCTATGTTTGACATCTTAGACTTAAAAAAATTGGGCATAAATTTAATAATTATAAATTCATAATTTCAAACCTTTCATTGTCCGGTTGGTCCATGCAATCCAATTATATTTAATTGTCTGGGAATCACTGTCTGAAATCAAATAGAAGATGAAAAATCTCTCAGCTTTAGTGCCTTTAATGTAATATTGGAATAGGATTTTGAGAATATTCCAGGATATGTAGAGTATGAATATGAGAAATTTTAATTCCGATTAACTGCTAATTAAAAGCAGCTATATAAATATTGTTAATATTAATAAAATTGATAGTAGTCTTATTTATTGAGTTAGAAATTGATATATTAAAGCTTTAGGAGATAGAGTTTATTATGAATTGCTATTTTGATTCACTTTAATTAATTATAAAGATTCGTCATAAATTATGCCTCTATATTAAATTGTATTATTGATTCGTGTGGCAAATTAATTATATCAATGATTCAAGTTGATGAAAATCCTCAACCTTTAGATCTTACTCTTTATCAGGAGATCAATACTGAAAAGTATGAGGATATTCAAATCAAAATATAAAAGCTCGAATCTACATTTTTCTAATGTTTAAGTTATAGTAGATAGCAGTAATTGAAACAAAATGAGAAACTACAATCTGATAATTCACAACTCCAGGATAATGAACACAATACAAACAAAGACTCATTCCAATCCGAATAATTTGAAAAGTACATTGCTTAATACTTTGCCCAACTTCGCTCATAATTTGGAAGTACAAAATCGATCAGTTTCATGACTTCTTAATAGTTAAACCTATTTTTCGAAGAAGCTTTGGAATAATTAAACAACAAAACAAAGTTGTATTAGGACATTCTAAAACTTAAACTTTTATAAACTTCATAAGGTATTGATTCATTTCTATTCATTACAAGATTTATTTTCTAAAGTATACTCCACCAAAACAAACCTAATACTTAAGTAATGGTATTTACACAATTATTGTTATCCATACCCAAATTAGTTGGAAATCAAAAAATTAATCGGCAAAACACAACTATCCAAGAAGAAGGTATTCATTATTTAATATTAAGATATTAAATTGGTTTATCAATGCTCGCAACAGCTTCAAAAGAAAAAAGCAAAAAAAATAAAAATATAAAATATTAGTGCAAGAACACTATTATGCTTTATATAAGTCGAAAAAATAAAGCTAAAACTCTAATTAAGAATAATCAAATTAACAAATTTTTTTTGAAAATCAGTGACAAGTTTTTAATAAATATATAAAAATAACCAATAATAATAAGCATAATATTAACAATATTAATTATTTAATATTAAAATTTTATTTTTGTTTCAATTTGTTAGTCCTACATCTAATTCTTATCTGGTCGGCTAAGAATAGTTAATTTAATTTTGGTTGTAATTTTACAAATACCTTAAAGGCCTCCTAGGATAGAAAACTGTAAACTAAATATATTAATAAAAAAATGAGGTTAGTCAAAAGGCAAAATTATTTTACAAAGAAACTTATGGAGCTACAATCTTTAGAATTCAAAAATTTTGAATTATAATTACCCATAATATTTGATTTGAAATAATAATTATTCTACATATATATTAAGAATATCAATTAATATGATCAATTACATTAGAACTAATTGATTTTTATTAATTATTGATTTGTAATTATTAAAATCCTTTGAGACTTTCGGTTATCTTTAATTATTATAATATCATTATCATTATTTTGTGTAATATTAAAGACTTCTGATGTAAGACATAACCATCAAAAGGGTATCTTATTTGAATATAATTTAAATATAGTATAACTCCTACTTCTGTTAAACAATAATCGCTCAAAAAAGTTAAGAACTTTTAAATATCCAATTCACCAAATTCAGAGAAATGTTGTTCATTTAATTTCATTTTAGTGAATGAAGAATATAAAAATTTCTTAAATTCTATAGAATTAATAATTTGAAGGAGGAAAAGGGATTTTAGAAATTATCTAATTTGTTATAAAAATGGTCGACATTAATTTAACTATAGAATTGATTAAATTACAATTTGATAAATTAGGTGACATTTATAATAATATGATTTATTTGAAACCTAGAAAATAGAAAAATTGATAAATATAAATATCCAATAATGAAATAGATTTTAGATATAGTACATCATGGATTCAATATTATTTAAAAAATAACTTCCCTTTTCTCATCTCCAACTATTTATTCAAAGAAACTGATCTAACTTCTCTTGTTGTTTTAGGTGCTTCAACTTTGTAATTAGTAAGAAGATGATTGTTGTAAAGGCTTTCTTCATTATTATTAGGTATTGTAACTGAATGTTTAACATTTTATTCTAAGAATGTCTGGAGAGTTTTATCTTCTTTTATGGATTGTAATACTAAATTCACATGATTTGGAAATAGTTTCTAGTAGATAAACACTAATAGTTTTTCATTACTAACTACCAATTCCAATATTTTGATTTTATCTTCTTTATAGAACTATTGAAAATCCTGAATAGTATCTAAATAAGATTGATATTATTAGAAATTTCCTAAAGGTCTTTTTTTCTAAATTTCTCTCCTGACAGCATCAACACATTCTAAAAAACAATATTCAAGATCACTCCTTATTATGCTTTTCTTATTTTAAGATATTAACAGTTTGTTAACTTTCTCGTTTAGGATTTTGTTTTAATTTTAGTATTTTTATTCAATTATAGTCACATATCTATTATAAATATTTTATCTACTTAGTGAATTTATTAACAATTTCCTCATATTTAAGGTTTTCTTAGTTTAATTCGTCAGGAGGAAACATTTCTTTAATTGAGGATTAATGATGTTTAGATAATGATGAGGTCAGTTCGACTTTCGGCTAATATTCAGTTAACCTTCTTCGATGAGATTCTTAGATTTAATAAATAATGATACTTTGTTAATTAACAGGAGTATTTGTACAAAATATCTGATCTATCTAGAGATTTGGTAATAATTCTTTATCGATTTCTTATAATTTGACCTTTTTCATTAATGATTTGATTTATGATTCCAAGAAGTCAATTGTCTTTTATTGTTCTGTCAATTTGTATCTTAATTCATAGTTTTCCTTACTTTTCATTTCAACCTTTTGATATAACTTCAGACATTCCTCTCTAAAATAAACCTAATTATTTAATCTTGATTACTAACTCATTGTCATTATTTGTGACATTTATTTTATTCTAATTTTAAATACTACGTTGTTCTTCTGTTTTATTTCGTAATTCTTTTAATTCAGCTTTTATTTTTTTCATATGATTTTGATAAGCAATTACGAATTCAGCTTCATTCCTTAATTTAATCTTATTGACCAAATCAGTTAATTCATTCATATATTGTACTAATGATTGAAATGCTTCTGCTGCTTTAACTTGTTAAGAATTTTCGTTCTATTATTGTCTCTCTTTATATAAATCCAATTACATAATTAATTAATAAAAAGGTTGTTAAAATATATAATGCACAAAAGTCCTCTTCTTAAGGAAAACATAAGATTAAACAATAACTAGAGATCTACTTACTCAAGTAAAAGCAAATAAAAAACGTCCTCTTTGGAGAAGAACTCAAATTCCAACAGATCCCTACTCAATGAAATTTAAAACTAGACTCCAAATTAGCCCAAGAAAGTCACATCTACTTAGCCGTCTGATCAAAAATTGCATAATTGTAATTCTTCATATAATACTCAGAAGGTTAAATTCTGAAATCGCTTATGAAAATATAGAATAGAACCAACCCTATTTTAACTTAATAGAATTGCTATGCTGGCATAAAACTGAACTTTAATAATTACTTATGTAACATTATGTGCTATTAAAATTAGCAAATGAAGAAAAAAGAATAAATACAAATCAGTACAATTCGTTAAATCAAACAGTCCAACCATCTCCTAAAGCCAAAACCATCTCATTATCTACTTATACAGTAATATCACTCATTTATTATTAGAGTACTTAGAGTCCAGAAGTTAGAGAGAAAGAGATGAGATAAGAGAAAATCACATCATTCAAATAGTTAATACAATAGACTAAGCAAAGTTTAGAAAATATGAAAATATCAGACATAAAACAATCCATAGATAAGATATTTGACAACACAATTCAGCCTTTGCTTTAATTGAAAGTACTGGATTATTTTATTTTAATAGAATGAAGTGATTAAATAAATTGAGAAATGTTTAAATGCTGAGCAATATTAGATCCGATCAACCATAGATTCATTAAAGAAAATGGAAGATGATATCTTGTCTAATGAGTTTAATATCATTGAATACATGACGATGGGACCATTCAATGAAATAATGCAGATTTATTAGAAGAGATTTTAAGAACATTCATTTTTCACTTAATAATTAACTTAGCAAGAATTAGTTATACATTAGTTTTAAAAGTTGCATGATAATTTTACATAACAAAACTAATTGTTATGTAAATAATTATCATAATCTTTTCAAACATATTTATCTTTATTTATTTCATTCTAGAATAAGGATGATTTTTATGAGTTGAAGGAAAATAACCACACTCAACCATCTGCTTTAAACAATAATTAATATACCCAAGAGAACTTGTTTTAGACTTGTGAAACAAACAATTCAATTGATGAAGATTAAGTTATTATGAAGGATCAATAAGTTGTAAGAATTCCGGATAAGACATCCTAATTTACTTAGTTGCTCATGCTGAATAATTAAAAAAAATTGCTTTTAGCAGAATCACCCCAATTCAAAAATTGATTATATATTTTAGTTTAATTTATTTAAAATAACAATATAATACTTTATAAAATTAAATTAATTCAATCTATAATGTATCATGGTTTTGCAGTTAAATTTCTTAGTAGGTCATTAAATAAATTAGGTTTTTGAGGATACCAAATATTTATAAATTTATTCAAATCTATACTAATTTTATTTTTATTTTTATTTTCATCCTTCATTAATTTGCTTTTATTTTTCTTTCTTTCAGATTTATGCTATACTAAATTTTGTACATCAGGTTTCTATTCTTCTTTGTTTATTTGAGTAATCAGCATAACCTTCTTCCTTGTAGGAGTGTTCCTAGAATGACTTGTGCTATCCTAATCAATTTCAATATTTAAATCTAAGGAGTTTCTCTAGCTAACCTTTCCCTTTTGTCCCTTTCTACCGTCATTCGATACTACTGACTATTTTCTATATGATAGAATCACGCTCTGATCTAGTTAGACTCTCAAAACACTGAGGGGCAATATGGAAGGTAAGATCTATTTTACATCATTATTTATCTGATTTGATATCTAAATCTTTGTTTGTTTAATCATGTGGAGAATATCTAACTCAATTTATGGATTAGCATTTTGCTTTAATAATTCAACTAAATTCTGGGTAGTTATTTCTGCTTAATTATTTAAATCATAAAAGAGAAAACAGACACGGATTTACTATTTTAAATCTAAATTTTCGATTTTTCTTATCAACGTGTAATATTAGTTAAAAGTTAGAATTTGAGGAATTTTCAAAACTTTTACTATTTATTCACATATGATGTCAGGATAATATCTTTATAAATATGTAGCTAGTTATTATTTATTTATTCTGATATTCCTAATTTATATTGATTTACATCTAAACTTGTTATCAGATTCAACTTCAATTCTATTTATCTCTCCAAAGACATCAGCGAATTACTACGGCATTTCTTCCTTAGAATTGGATAAAACTCCAACCATTTTCGAAGGACTTAGAGTATTTTTTCTTTCCTGACGTAATAAAAATGAGCTCAAAAGTTTAGAATTACTCCTTTCTGTATCTTCATCACTAAACTTTTATTGCGAAATTTTCTCATTTTGACTTGTATTTGCAGCATTGCTTATTAATTTCTTATTTTAATCTTTACGTATGATTCTACTTACTATTTAAGTTCGTATTCTTAATTTATTCATAAGAGGAGCTTGAAGGATATATTACATCATTTTACCCAATAAATTGTGTTAATATGCTTTTTTTACAAAGACATCTAATTCATTATTTATCATTTTAATACAATTTCATTATTAATTCGTTCTAATATATTGTCATAGTGAATATTCAAACATTATACTATGTGATTAATTAGATAAAATAACGGATGAAAATACCATATTATATTATTTTGTTTTTTATTCATTAATGAATTCAAGGAGGTTAGGCTTATGCTAAACTGTTTTTTTTATGATGAAAATATATTAACAATTAATCATATATCAACCAAATTTATTTTATAAACCCAATTTCAAAAATTAAGTAATTAATTTGTGTAATAATTGTATAAAATATTAAATTTATAAAGACAAAGAGTATAAACGAAATCATAAACAAGCTCATTAGATAAAGATTTATTAATTAGAATGATCATTATGATTGCTATTAAAATACAATGATCTCCTTTTGATTTCTTTTGACTTCTTAATTTTTACTGATGAAGATGAACTTTCAATATGTGTAAGTTTATGTGATTTTGATGTTAGTGAGGTATCATTTTTTTTGATCTTCCTCTTAATCATATTTTTAGTGATTGATTTTTTGTGTTTAAGATTACTTTTTGGAATGACAGTGTCCTCATTGTTTTCAAGGTTGCTTTTAAACATATTAAATTCAATAGGAATATTTTTAATTAAGTTTCGTTTTTCCTTCACAAGCATTTCAAAATATGATGATTGATAGATATCTTCTAAATCTCCGTTCAATTCCAAATATTGTCTCTTTAATTTATAAATAATTTCATTTCTTGAACATCTGATACAAGTACATAATCCCTAGATTGAATAACATTCATAATTACTTTGCACAATGGACATATCCATAGAAATTGAGTAATTTCATATGAATCAAATTCATGCTTTAAACATTTTAAACAAAAGTATCTTTTACAATGAATCTATTAATCTATGATATGTCATAAATTGAATGTACTTTCAATAATGTAATTTGTAGAATAAAGATCTAAAATATATTATTATTGAGACTTTGCATTTATTTAATATCTCTAACACGTTAGCAAATCTTCATTGTATTCATGTAACCCCATCTAAAAATGATTATATGAACACTGTTTCAGATTTTTAACATCAACCATCAATTTACAAAAGTGACACATTTGCATCTCGAATACATCCTACATAATTCAATTCATTTACATCAGATCTGAGTCCAGGTATTTATTCAGGAAATTCATAAGGCACTTCTCTTAATCTTTGAAGATTTGCAAAATGCTCCAAGTTCAGATCAATTTAAATTTGACTCAAATATTTATCAAAGATCACAGTAATTGTGTTGTCTTTACATAAATATTTAATTATACTTTTTTCATTAAAGATAGCCTTACCAATGCTTTCAGCAACTTGATAATCTTCATGTAAAATAATTAAATCCTTCAATATTTTTAGTTCTTCTTGATGATTTCTAACTCTGGATCTTGTTAATTTAATTGAATGGTTTTTAACGATCTGGGAAGAATAAGTGTAGAGCAGATTATTATTGATTTCTTGGACATGTTATTCAAGTCTAATGATATGAAATTGAGATAATACTGTTGCAGGGAATTAGAATTATCAAGTTGTTCAAGTTAATATTCTAGTTATTATATTTGTTTGCTTAATTCATCCTTTGAATCTATCACGTGATGTAGATTAGTCAAGATTTAATTTTCTTATTGATAAATTAGTTATTGTTGTTATTCTGATTTTTAGGACATATTTTTAATGAGATCTTCAGTCTGCTATAGTCCTTCAATAAGCTGATCATAACAAATTTGGTCTATCATTTCATCAATTAAATTTTAAATGGGTTCTTAATGATGTTTTCTTTGTTGTAAAAGTAATGAAAGTCTTTATTTTAGGTTGATGAAATTGTATTAAGATAATTTAGATCTGTTGTTCTGTTTCAGAATTTTATCTAATAATTTATGACAATTTAAGTTTACATAATAAGAAACTATTTTATGAATAAATTGTTTACATTTCTTTTTGAAGTGACTAATGTCAGAGGTGTTAATAAGAGAGTGAACCAAGAAAAATTACTCATTGATTTCTCTCCAAAAATTACAAGTGAAAATTGATTCTCCATTTCTATCCATTTTTACAATATAAATATTAACTTTAGAAAGAATTATTAATCTATAAATTAAAAATCATATTTATGTAATAAAATTGTATATCAATTTCGATTTACAGTCCATTATCGTTTGTTTTTCAAACTCTCTCTCCCCTTTTCTGCATTTACGATTATCTAATCTCTCCAATCACATCTAACTTCCTTAAGAATCAAACCAAAAATTGTTGATAAGCAAAGAAAATGATTTCTTCACATTCCTTCACATTCTCAAGTAAACTAATTATAATTTATACTTCTAAGAGGAGACCAACACCACTCAAGAGTTGAGATCGCTGATTTATTGAAATATTGCTTAGGAAATTTAAATGAATTAATAGAAGTACAAACTATGTTCAAGTAACAACTCAGAAATAGTTTAGAGATGAATAGAAATAATAGAGTGTTTTATCCATTAATTTATTATTTATGATGTTGAAATAAATAATAGGAAGGAAACAAGAAAATGATAATTAGAAGTGCAAAATCAAATATAATAAAATAGGTATTCATAATAAAACGAATATAAAATCTAACAAAAATAAAGATTTGGCTAAAGTTGCTTACTTGATTTTAAGGATTAATTTATATAGATAAGTTTGTTTCCATATTTGTCAATTTTGTTGTTTAGTTGAATTTAAAGTAATAAGAATGTTATTATAATTATATAAATATTAATATTAATATCATATGCAACTCTTAAAAGTTTGTAAAAGATTCTGCTCGATCTTATAGAATGTGCCTAAAGAGCTTGTAGATTTGAAACATGTTAACTTTTTGAAGGTTAAGACAGCCTACCTTGAATAACTAAAGGACTAATATATTTTGAGTTTAGAGTTTACAAAGAGTCCAAATGAAGCAGACGATGCTATGAATATTACGAATAATGTTGAACTCTAGATCGACCCAGAATTAACTGTGAAGGAATTCGTTGAGAATTGTCAAGAATATGTACAGTTCACATTACTATTTAGTTAAAAGATAATGTTACTTTGTATTCAATTGACAAAGTGCCATTAGCAGGTGTGAATACAATGGAACAAGTGATAAAAGAACCTTTCTATTTATTGACAAATAATCAGCATCTATTTTTTGTTAAACAATTATCAGGTTATGATAAGGACGATTATTCTTATATGTAAATGAATAATTAAATTTAAGTAAATCGTATTTCACTCGTAAACATGTACCAATGTTGGAGAAGAATATTCTTATTTAATACTTGGTTAGAATGGATTATGTGTTATAGTAAAATTTCAAGACAACATTTTTCAAAAACTACTCTTCATCTCAATAGAAGATAGAATATAATGATTTAGTAAAGGTGATTCTTGATTCTTATACCAACATGAGGAACACTTAATCAGATCATGAGACTGACATGTACAGTCAATATTTCGAGTTGAAACAAGCAAAAGAAGTATTGGAGGAGAAAAGAAAGGAAATTATGGAGGCTGCAGTTAAATTTGCAAAGATCTAGATGTTTGGTGGATTTCTTGTATTGTGTGGTCACTTCTGTTTCATGGGTGCTGGTATATATGTGTACTACAATTGGGATGTGATGGAACCTATAGGTTATTTCCTGAATACAGGTGGAATGATCTATTTATCCTATCAATATTTCAAGTAAATTTTGTATATAGTTATAGGTTGAATGATGAATGGTCACATAGCAAGTTCTCAAATTATTTGATCAATAAGAACTTTGTTAGGTTGAGTAGATCCAATAATTTTGACATTGAAAAGTTGAATTAAATCAATAAACAAATTTAAGAAATCTAGGATAGAATCAAAACAAATATCATTACAAATTTATGATCATATATCCAAAAAATAAATAATTAATATCACGATTCTACTAAATCCTTTAATGTATAATGTTTCACGATTTAATTTGATTGTTGATCTTGTTGTTATCTTTTATTTGAGTATTATTAAATAAGCGCACTTTTGATACGAATATTTTCTTTAGTTTTATTAGGTTGATTATTAACAATATTATTAACATTGTTAATTACAGTATTTTAACCCCCATTAGTATTTGGATACTTGATGTAAGGTTCCTGCTATAAAGGTATATCCTAATGCATAGATGGTTAAGTAGAATTGGGATTCAAATCTAAGATAGTGAATTTTTTGACATCTTTGACAGATTAATTTTACTGAACAGGAATTAATTTAGCCCTGCAGGAAATATTAGCAATTGATGATCCCCTTGCTTATGCTGACAACGGTCTGATCTGCACATTTGACTTATAAGTATTTTATGGTTTAGAGTGTTTAATTTCAAGTTTGAATTTCGGTCCTTATTCTATAGAAAATGAATTCTTCCTCTCTTCCTAAAATTATTTGTCATCAATGTCTTGAATGTAGAGTTCAACATGATTAGACTGAATCTTCAAGACCTATTATTATTGCTGTTATTGAGTATGTTTGTATTCTTATTATTCTAATTACTTTAACCTTTCCTATTCCTATTGTTCTTTTAATTATCTCTCCTTCTCCAATTTCTACATTTTCTCTCTTTCAAGTCTCTCTTACCTCTCCAATCTATCTTATTTCTCCTTCTCCAATCGTTCCTATCTCTCCTTATCCATTCTCTCTTACCGCTCTCTGTCTATCCTCTCCCTTTCAAGTCTTTCCTTCTCTAATTTCTCCTGTTGATCCTTCAATAACTGCTGGTATTGTTGGGCTCTTGATATCTGCTCATTTTCTATCTACTTCTGGGTTACATCAACGACATCTCCCATGTAGATGGTATCAGACCCATTACTAATTAAGTCTTGCTGTTGCGGTTTCCTGGTTTTCTTCATCTTCTCAGTTTCCTAGGCTTGCATTGCATACGATTTGGGATTTGAGGTTTACGGCCTTTATTATTAGTGCTATTGATATTACATCTAAGGCAATGCTTCATCAAGTTGTCTATGTTATTAATAAAATCTACTATGAAATTCTCTATGGCTGACTCCTCTATTGGAAATATATTGTATTGACTTCTGATATGCTGGGTCTCAAGGCTGGGATCTTCTCAAGGAGTTTCCAAATGAACTGGCTTAGTCCTTTCATAATTTACTAAAACATATTGTACTTGTCGAGTACTGAGGAGGCAATGCTTTAGGTGCTCTATTAACTATACTATATCCCAAGGCAATCAAATTTTCACCCTAAAAGGGAGGCTCCAAGGCTGCCATGTAAAATACCACACATCCCAAGGCCCAGATATCAACCTTATAATCGTAGGGCTAATGCTAAACAAGCTCTGGGGACAGATACAAGGGAGTGCCCACTCGAGTGCCTTGGAGTGCAGTGTCTGAATTGAATATTTTGGATACTCCCAGATCTCCCAATTTCACATGTTTATCCTTTGTTAGAAAGACGTTGAGTGTTTTAATATCCCTGTGAATGATGTTGTTTTCATGCAGATGCTACAATGCAGAACTAAGTTCCCTGCTCATCTCCCAAATGGTTTCCTCTTACATAAATTTCCTTCTCTCCTTATAATCTTTTAGCAACTAAATAGGTTATTCATGACTACTTTCTAAAGGTCTCCTCCTTCGGCATACTCCATGATGATGCAAAGATTGTCCTGCTCAATAAAACTCATATAGTATGTTATGACATTTGGATGTTTCAGTTTCCTCAGAAGTTATGCCTCTTTGAGTGCCTCAGCTTTTAATATGAAACACACATACCTTGATGCTTCGGCTTCAGATGAGTCAGATTGATCTTCTTGAGAACATAGATGTTCCCATCCATACTAGATTTCACCTTATAAACCACTCCATAGGAACCCTTTCCCAATTCATTCAAAATTGTAAATTAGGAAAGATTGCTACCGATTAATTAATATTAACGACCTAGATTCTAACAACTAAATTACTATCTAAATCATGAAGCTATTGTATTTCCCTTTAATCAATGGTTTTTGGAACCTTCGCTGTGGTTGGTCTTTATTTCATTATATATTTATTTATATATTATATTTCAAACCTCCATTCTTCACTTTCTCATCACTCTCAATAAACCAATTATATCTAAATTTAATTTCATATTAAAACATTCTCCTCTCACTCCTTTTATTTAATATTCAACTTGCTGCCACTAATTCATTCAAACAAGTTCAACTTTTCTCACACATTTAACACTTAACTTTAATTAATGACGAATATCATCATGACAAAAATAGAATCATAAAAGCACTTCAATTCCAAATAAAACAAATATAAATATAACCAAATTAATCATTCTAATTGAAATACTTAATCCACTTAAAATATAACCATTAAATTTATATGTTAATCTAATTGTTAGTTATGATTCTTGATATGTAATATGTTATTTATTTTATTTTCTGTATCTTGATAACTCTAATATCTAATACCTAAAACAATATCATCTACTAATAATGATTGTTTGTCTTATATTTTAATAATAATATGATGTTGTATGTATCTAATGATATGTAAAATTAAGATAATAGTGAAAAATAATGTCCGATTATGTTTAAAGAGATATTAAATAATACGCAAACTTATAGAGTAAGATATTTAAATTCATTTTTATAAATTGTTCATCATTTTCTTTTAAAACCGCATCTTCCACAGAAATTATGATCCTGTTCCATTTCGTAGCTACATTATTTACAATGGTATGTAGTGATTTTCTTTTGTTTAAGTTATTTTTCAATGAGCATTTTTTTATACATTAATTCTTTTTAATTTTTTTGGCAAAGATCTAAATGACTTTCTAGATTTCGAGGATTGAATTTTCTGCCACAAAGATGACATTCTGCTGTTGTTATATAGCTTCTATCCAACGAACTGTTTTCTCTATTAGTTTTTTTTGGTCCTTGAGATTTTGGTTTTGCCATAGATTTTGATCTTTTCTTCTTTGGTTCTTCTTTTCCTTTTGCAACAAAGATCATTGGTTTCTCTTTGCTGCACAATTTCAAATGCATTTTCAATTTTCCTTCGAAAAACTTTCGATTACAAAATTCACATTATTCGTATTAAATATTTTATACTTCCATTTTCTGTATATTATATATATTATATTTAAATTTAATGAAATAACGAGATCATGATCGAAATGCATTATTCCCAATAAGCGAAGACTCTCAATATACGTATCATCGATACAGTCCACCAATGAGACCGAAAATATTGCCAAATTAATACATCAACAGAGATTCGAAATTAATTCAATTAAGTGCACACGAGAAATCAATACAAGACAAGAGATCAAATATATTTTATGAACCTACAAAACTTCCAATATCACCTCCTAAATGTATAGAAGATAGACCCAAATCTCCAAATCTTGATCATAGATAAAGAATGTTATATTAGAATGCATCAAATGTGTTACCTGGATATAGTTACTAGAAGGTGAAATAAGTTTGTGAGACTAGAACTAAAATAGTTGAGGATCCAAATAATCAAGTCAAACATCAGAATCAAAATTTCTCGGATTTATTTGACAGACATTGTGGGGATACCAAAATCAATCAAAGAGGTAGATCAGCTTCTCCTTAATTGGATTGGACTGCACATGATAGTGTTAGGAATGCTAAGGATTGTACAACCAATGAATACACAACTAATAATAAGCCCAAATCTCCTCTCAAAGTAACTGAAATCTCAAATTTAGAAATCAAAGTAATTTAATTAATTCTAATTTTAGTGTATTTAATAAGCTAAAGAATTGAAGACTTATTCCAAATTGCATGGCAAGAAAGCAGCTCCAAAAGAGATTGTTTATGAAGGTATGCTCAAATGGAAAAATAATTATAAATGAAATTGTTTCTAATTAATTTATTTATTATATATGATAACTACCAATAGGGATTTGATTAGCTCGACAACTGATTCCGCTGAATACTCATAAACCATTTAGCTGTCTAAAAGAAAAACCACCAACAAATAATTTTCCTTAAGTCTCTTTGCCTTAAGAAAATAGGAACTATATAATAAGAGAAGTTCATCCTACTATTCACCCAATATCAGCATTTCCAAGATTAAACCAGTGATTGATTATCGGTCAAAATTTAAACAAAACACCAAAAAATTGATCATAATTCTTAGCTTTTTTGAATCACTGTCCTAATATTCAAAAGAACAACTCAGATAACGTATAGAGTATTTCAAGTTAAAAAAATAAAACATCCTACCATTTTATCCAGATCAATACCTTATTATCAAGTGGAATCAATTCATTTAATTACTACTATTCTTTTATGCAATAGTATACCCCTTGCAATTGGCTAATCAGATTAATGTGGATTAAATATTACTGGGAATCGATTTCATCTTTGCAATTGACATAATGATGAATTTCATTACAGCATATATTGATGAAAATTATAATTTGGTTAAAGAATTTAAATTAATATTCCTCAACTATCTCAAAACTTGGATGATTTTCGATCTTATATCATTACCACAATATTAATTACAAATACAACAATCAGAACTTCAAATGTTCAAGCTCTTGAGATTAATCAAATACTTTATCAAGAAACCACAAAAAAACTATAAAGGACAGATCTTTTACACTACCAATATCATTGACTCTTTCTCTTTAGATATCAATTATTATCTCTCAGAAGGGTGGATCTTTTTAATCAATGTCATTCTGAATGCATTTCTCCTCATCCATATCTTTGGATGTATATTCCTCTTTCATGACACCAATTTCAATTACATTACCAGTGTCTATTGGGCATCATAAACCTTGTTTACAGAAGGGTATGGCGACATACCCTAGAATTTCTAAATATCAGTTATCTGGATTATAGTATCAATCGGATATTATTCAGTAAAAATTGGTGATTTTGCTAAATTATTGATGCAAACCAATCTATCAAATGATGACAACCAATATTACTTATTCGATCGTCTGGCCTTACAAACCAAGATGCCAGATGATCTAAAGGATTCAGTCTAAAAATACATTAGAACCAATGCCTAATACAATCAATTTTGGGATTAGGAAATCATCCAAATGGTTGATGAATTCCACAAGCCCATTCAAACCTATTTCACTTTGAGTGTAATGTTGGATCTATGCATTAAAATTTAATTCTTTCTGTAAGATGTCAATCATACACAAAATCTCTTGAAATCCTGCAAATTTATCACTTTCGAGAAAAATGAAATTATCTATAGGAAAGGATAATTCTCGGATGAAATCTATTACTTGATCAAAGGAGATGTGAGAATAGTATCCAAAAATAGATATAATATCCTGACTATCTTATAAGGTACTATCTTTGGAGAATTTGAAGCATTAAATGAGTAACCTCGATTTACTTATGCAATTGCTCAATAGAGATCTCTTATTTTGATTGTCCAATTGAAATCCTTTATTGAATGCTTCAAACAAAGCAAACTCATTAACTTTGAGGTCTCCTAATTGTATGCCAGAAGAAAACAACTCATACTTCAACAGTTTAAGCTTGAAAAAAGTATAAAATTAATTAATTTAGATAAAAAGTTGAATTAAAAAGATTGAAACGAAAAAATTTAATCATTTTTGAAGACAATGACATCTCGCCTGAATTCAAAAAGAGGAAAACTAATGATAATCATCTATAAACTAATCAAATTTATCATTATAACTTGTTGAAAAAAATCATAGGACAAGCCAAACTCAACAAATAAATTGTCTATCAGAGATTCTAGTTTTGTGTAAATAGAGTGATAGATTATATAAGATAGATAGACACCACTCCACCAGAAGATTGGAAGGATTTAAATGAATATCAAACCATCACTAAAGTCATCCCTTTAAAGCTATTATAGTAAAGAAATTGCCTTTTTAGATAATAAAATAGACAATCTAACTTCTCTATGTTATCATTCAATAAGAAACTACGACTTTCTAATTATATATTAGTAAGATAGTAGGAAATTAATATACAACGAAAAATTATCCTATTTAGTAAGATGTAACGTGAAAGATTCAAACCATTAAAATAGATATTTGATAAATATGGGCGTATATTTGACAATCAATCTGAGTCTGACATTCTCAATTTTGAAAGTTCTTATTCATCAAAGATTACATTGTTGCAATCCAAATATTGTTAATGGTTCAATGTAAAGTAACATGAAGAGATTAAAATCAATAAGAACATTGTCAATAACGTAAAAAAACTTAGTTAAGATCTCTCAAAAATAAATGATACTTGGCTATAAGGATCACTAATTAAATTTGACTTGCATAAGTATTTAAATTAAAATTGAATTTTTTTACTAATTACATAAATTATTTCATTTTTCTATACTATTCTAAATTGTTATTAATAATTGTATTGTTAATTTAATGAATAAATATTACATATTTTATAATTAAATCAACCTATATATCCTACAAGTTTATATTATATTCCAATTTCAAGAGAATTCAACTATATTTATATATTGAAATATAATTTATTTATCTATTATAATATTTTTAATAAACAAATAATGTAAAAATACGTTGCTAAATATGTTGCTTTGAATTTTAAAAACTTGGTTATTGGGGGAGATTTGAAAACTATCAATCCCTTAATAAAGAACGAACAATAATTTTTCTAATACTATGATTAGATTTTCATGAAGGACACCTATATATAGGATTGTCTAAAAAATGATTTATTGAGAATGCCTGTTGATTTTTTCAAAGAAAGCAGATACGATGATTTTGCAGAAGATCATTCTGAATTCTTGGAATAAGAAAATTAGAAATAAAAATGATTCCATTGATATTATATGTAATTTTTCTTTATAATTAATGATGATCATCATTAACTTTTTCTTTTAGTTCTTCTTAATCTAAAGCTATTTTAGATCTTCCAATGTATTACTGATTCAAGTTATCTCCTCCAACCATTCAACTCTTGGTTTTTGTTGCTATTTATAAATTTTACTTTAATGATATACTTTTATAATAATTCAGTGTAATACAGTATCAATAGTCTTATTAATAAAAAGAAATGAATTCTTTACAAAATTATAGATTCTATCTTGAATTTAGTTACTTCTTGAAAGGCTATATAAATAAATATTCATAATATGTATGTGATTCATTGATTCTTTTGTTAAATTAATACAATAATAAATTCCATAAACTTTATAATTGAGGAACCAAATTGCTAATTCAAATTCAATTGTCATCTTAATAATTCGCTCATTATGTTTCAATTATTTTTCAAATTCGCATAGACCTATAAGGTAATAATCATTAATACTTGTTATTTGATTCTTACCGAATGTTCTCTTAATTAAATAAATAGATGCATGTACTTTAGTTACATAAGAAATCTTTATTTATATATAAAGATGATACTCGTATATGATTGTAAATCTCTTTTAGGTAAAAATTGGATCTAATTTACCATGCTTTGTTTTAAAAACAGGGTAGCTTTTGTAACAATAATTCTCAAATAGAGATTATAAAATTCTATGGTTTAGTGTTTTGGGTTGATTAAATATATATAAATAAGGCTAATTCCATATATATTGTAATAATCTTTCAATATTTTTATATAAAAATAACACAAAATAGAAATATTATAATCACATATAAGATAGAGTAGCGGATGCTACAAGCATCTTATTTTTTTCTATTCTTTATACTGCTGGATGATTTTCATTGAAATATGATTTTAAAATAGTAATTGCTTTTGCAAATAACAAATTAGCACTTTTAAACTTCATTCTATCTAAGTAAGCCAAAGCTAAGTTATTCATAATCAATGCTAAACCTATAGATTCGGTGTCACTAAATAATAATATTCAGTGTTAATACCCATAATATGTGACAAGTTATTCATAGATTTCTATAGCATTAACGCTGCTGCCTTATAGATGATAGATGACTCCTTGCAGATTCATAATTTTACATAATTATTCATGTTTTTGTCCATATCTATTAAGATTATAATGTGATAATATTAATACAATTTGATGAATCCATCCTTCGATTATTCCAAGTACTCAAGAGCAAAGTCGTACTCTTTTTCTAGATAATATATGCAACCCAAAGTGTAATAAGTATCAAATATCCTGGGATCTTAATGGTCTAATTTGTTTTGTAAGATTGAGAGTCCTTCATAGCAAATCTTTTTGGCATCCACACTATCATCTATCATAATAAATGTGTTTGAGTACGAAGCAAAGCATAGACAAAAGATATCTTGACTAATATCTTGGCAATGTCTAACTTCCAATTCACTTATTCATAGTAGTTCAATGCTTTTTTATAGTAATCAAGGGATTATAGATATTGGTTATTGAGTAAATATAGATTTGCCTTTTCTATATATATTTTGCTGAGTACATCAAAGTCATTAATTTCAAATTAATTTAAACATTTATCCAAACATCTTATTTTAAATACAAATTGTGATACTTTAATGCTTCATTGATTTGTCCTAGTTCTTTGAGAATCTGAGATGCATAACAGAGTGATTGAACACATAATAATATAATTACTGAAATTTATAATTTTTCGGCTTATTGTTTTAATTTTTCATTTCCCTCCTTATAAACCTCCATCATTCTTTCTAATGCTAGTTTAAATTTACCATCTCTAAGAAATTGTAAACCTGTTCTTAATTTTTAATTAAGTAAATCATCCTTAAGCAACTATTCGAAACTGTTAGTTTTAGATTTGTCAAATGAAACCGGTTCATCCTCAGATTGTTGACTAATTTATTCGTTCGGATGTTGCTCAGGTGTTTCGTTCTGAGTAGGAGAGATAATTTAATTTTTAGCTATTTTTATGCTTTAATTAGAAGATGTTGAAGAACCGTGTTTATCATTGTTTTCTGTTACCTCCGAACTTTGGCTTACCTAATATTCGAGCAAAATCTTACTAGGTCCACTGGTTAATGATGTTTCGAGAATAAATCATTTTTCTTTTATTACAAAGGAGGCAATGCAAAGTTATGTTACTTTTTTATTACAATACTGACTTTAAATCCATTTTGTATCTTCTTTTATAAATATTTAGATGCTTGGTCCAATCCTTGTTTTTCCACCTATAATTCATGGAAATCTAATATCTCAAACTCTTCCATTTATTTATTTATTTTAATTATAGAAATGGCATCTAATATTATCATTCTCAAATTGAAAGAAAAGACTAACTTACAAAGTAGTTGAAGCTGTTTTTGAAATAGTTAATATTCATTATATAAATCAAGGAATATACTCTTTGTACAATTATTGCAACAATTCTATTGGATCTGAAAATTAGGATAATTTATCCAATTTTAGATTCTGACAATTATATTATCTCACATCCCTTACTGACCTTAAAGACATCACGTAATTCTATAAATACAGCAATTCCTACGATATAAAACACTATAATACTTGGTCCATCTTGTTGTCATAATAGTTTATGATCGGAATCCCATTTAAAGGTTACAGGCAGAATGAGTAAGCTGCATTGTCAACTAAAACCATATCATTCATAGCTCTGTTTCCAATCACTCTCAAATCTTTGATGTAGGCACCCTCCTCTGTTTGGACACAACTATCTCTAAAGAATCGATGGGATATAATATTCTTGTTTGGATCCAAATAGTCAATGACAACATTCGCATAACAAGAATGAGAAGCAGTAAACACTATTATTTCAAAGTGCTTGTTCAAAGTCTGTAATACCTACTATGCATACGGTCTGATATTGATTGATGCCTAAATTGATAATTCAACATTTTACTTCAATGATTTCTCCAGATGGAAATTTTATAGGTAAAATGACATCCCCAGGTATTTGAACAGACTCATTACAATGGATTAATGTTTCATCTAAATCAAACACTATAGTTTTCTTATTCGTGCTGGGTAAATTCACTTTTTTATCCTCAAAACTATTTGCTATTTTTACTGATTTTTAAAAAATTGAAGCTTACATAGTTTATAATAGATGCTCCCTAATCAGTTCAATAGGTCTGTTGATTTCGACTTGCATATAACCTTTGATGATCGAAGAAAAGTAATATAAAAATGCTGTTTCATTATTTTTCTCTTAAGAGGTTTTCCTTCTAAAATTTTCTTTTATTGAATTGCTGGCCTTAGCTGATTCTGGTCTCAAATTCTTAAAATTAGTTTTATTTTCATTTAAAGGAGCCTTGACTTAAGTAACAAATGTTGATAGACTGGGCTTTTTAATGATAATGCCTTCAATTTTATTTTCATTGTTTATTAGAGTGCTTGATTTCAATTTATTTTATTACACAGGTGTGTAATCTCTTTATTCTTTAGTTTGCTAATGAATTTGTTATTCCTTTTATCCTCTGTTCGTAAAATCAATTGACACTGTTTTTTGAACTGAAGTTGAGGTTTGGTTATTTTTTGTGTTTTATCCAAAAAATTTAGAAGCAAGATTATTTTTTGTTTGTCTTTAACTATTATCAATATGGGATTTAATGGACTGGATTTTATTCTCTAAATAGAGTAATTTGTCTTATAATTTCTAGTATTCCTAAGGGGATTATTTGGATGATTGATTTCTATCTTGATTGGATCGTATTTCAATATTTTCCTTTTAATCCTTATAACTAAAATATTTGGAATAAAAATTTTGGCTCTGCTTTTATAATTGTATTGAACTTTTCATAGTCTACAAAGTCTATTTTTATTATGAATTAGATTAATTTGATGAATTAGGTCTTTGTAATTCCTTGCTTGATCTGTTGCCCAAATTCTTTTCTGATAGAGGACGTCTGATTTCAATCATGCTCAAAAGCTGTTAAAAAATTAAAATATTAAATAGTAATAAAGCACATTTTCAAAATTCATATACTTTCATTTAACTTTTTTTATTAATACAAAACCACCTTAATGGAAATTGGGACTACATCAAATCCTTAGTTCCCAAAATTAATTTAGAATTCAATTCTACATATTTACCTATTCGAGCCATAACTGTCTATCCTTCTGGTAATGAGATATTATTTAGTATTTCCATGTCGCACAATAAGATCAATAGGATATATCTTAATGTTAATGTTCAAATCATCAATTTAATTTTTTCTTACTCATGACTAAACTCCTTTTGAATTTCTAAGCATTCTACTCAAATTAAATGGAATGGGACATTTCATTTCTCAGATGTATATTTATAATTTCCTAATTTTAACAGTCTGATCTAATTAATTACTGTTGTTTTCAATTTCCTTGCTATTTTAATTGTAAGTAGATTTCTAATTAATTTCAATTAAATATAAAAGTACTAAGATTAATTAGGGATTAAATGAATATGATAAATAAATTAAGAATTTCAGTGAAATACAGGTTATTATGTATAAAACTCAATCTACATTTATATTGAATTACAATCCATTATTTTAAAGAAAGCAGAATTAAACATTTTGAAAAGATAGGGCGATTAATTTTGATTATTTTTAATTTAGTTGTAGTAATAGTATAAATAGGTATGTATTTGTTTATAGATTAAACATAATTAATAATTAAAAATAAATGACTGATATTGAAGAAAAGCGTATATTAAAAGTTGAAGAACAAAAGGACTAGCGTGGGGTATGTTATATAAGTAATGTTCCACCTTAAATGCCTATAAGTAAAATAAGGGAACTGCTATAAGCATATGGTATAGAGCGAGTATATTTTAAAAGTAAAGGATCTGGAAATAATAGAAGTTACAGTGAAGGGTGGGTTGAATTTAAAGATAAAAAGATTGCTAAAATGGCAGCTTTGTCATTGAATGGGACGAATATCAGTAACTATTTAGGAATAATGTTTTAGTTTAGAAGAAACATAAATAATTATCAGATTATATGTGGTCAATAAAGTATTTGCCAGGATTCAAGTGGGATGATTTGAATGAGAATTTCAATTATGAGAGGAGAGTGTAAAAGAAGAAATTGGATTTGGAAATAAACTAATCGAAGAAAGAACATGAGTTTTATTTAGAAAAAACAATCAAAAAAGTTAAATAATAATGATTATATTTATTGTATTCTTTATAATCCAAGAAACCATATGTATACCAGTTTCAATAATCATGGAATATACAAACATAGATATTGTCTACAACGAAGGCACACTCCAAAAGGAATTTGATATATCCCCAATATTGGAGAGAAGGTCTTGCACTTCACCTAAAAATCTGATCAAGATTGATACCAAGAATAAGAACTTAACTTAAGAAGATTATGAGGCATTGAGTATCACAAATAATGATGATAAAACATACTAAGTATTTGTTGAGTAATCAACTCATACAAATAAATCGATGTAAAAGACAGATAATAAATATTAGAACAACAAGATAATTTACAAATGATAATTCTACATTGTCAACTAATTAAAGTATGATATACTATTTGTATCAAAATTGCACTGAGTACAGTATCTAACATCCTGAGAAAGCCTGGGACTATATTTATGTAAAGGTAATCCTACAGGATGGCTAAGATAATAATCACACATTTCCATTTTAGTTTACATACACATGCAATGAAAATTATAATTTTATCACTTTTGATTGGAGTTTAATAATCTTGATTTCAATAAGCATGATGTTGATGGCCTTGTTGACAAGGTTTTCAAGAATATTGTCATTTAATCTGAAAGGATAGGATGGATAATTTTAAGGTTTTAAGATAGATGCAACAATAACAATCTTTTATTTTTTCATGTATGCAATTGGATTCTTTTTGTTTTTCAATTCCGAATATGTTGGAGAATTGAGTCTTGTAGTAAAGGTGTCTACTTACTTAATGGGATTCACGTGTTCATTGTTTATAATCGATGAAGTATAATCTAAAATATAATTAGGCATTATGTCTGTCTCCTGATGGTTCAGTTTGGAAAAGAAAGGTGTGTTATAAGATTAGATTATGCGAAGTGTTCTCATTTATGCTTGCCTCTGCATTCATGACTTTATATTTATTAACATAGGCTTGGTATTTGAGTGATCTAATATCCATATTTATAATGTCCACTATAGCCAAACTATTCAAATTCAAAAAACTTAAGAGTGCTGTTCTCTTCCTTATAATTTGTATACTCTTGGATGGAACAGCTGCATTTTTGATTTTCTTTACATCCAATACATCTTATAATTCGTTAACCCTCAAAAAGTTGAATTGTCCTATTGAATTACAATTACCATTGCTTGAATTACAATATGATCGAAGTTGTGCTTGGATCTCCTTGTTTAGTATAGCCATTCCTGGATTGTACATGGGATTCACATACAGATTTGATAAAAACAAAAGGACATTTTCCTACACCATTTTTACTGGATTGAGTTTAATTATTGGTTATATCATTTGGATAACTACCACCATAGTTTAAACCTATTCAATTCCTTCAAGTGTCTTTATATACCCCTCGATATTGATCGGTACCATTTTGGTTGCTTTGAAAAGAAATGAGTTGCAATCAATTTGGGATACAGAATTCTTTGATGAGTTTCTAGAAAAATCATACAGATTATCAAATATATACGGATAACACGATATTGTTGGCAATCTTAATTTAATGGAAGGATTGGATCAATGTCCAGATGAGTAACCAATTTAAAGTCGGATATTGAAATGATTTAATAGATTATAATATTGATATCAATATCTTCCAAATAATTGTTCATTCTCTTTGACCATATTTTAATACATTTAACTGATTTTCTATTGCATATTCAAAATAGATTCAATAATCTGATATTAATTCATATTCATAACAATTTAAATTTGCTAATAAATATTATTATTAACATATCCGAAATTATCTTGAATAATTTCAAATTATTTGGATTCTGCTGGAAATAAATTTTATTTTAATTGTTTTTCTGTCAATACTCCTTAACCTTGTACTCTTTGTTAGATTTATCCAGCACTCAATTACTTAAATTGTTTATCAATTTAGCTATCTATTTTTTATAATAATTTAAAGGATTCATCACGCATCACATCTCTCTACTTTATTTTCTCCCTCAAAGTTTCTAACACTTGAGTTTAATAAGCATATGAATAGTCTACATGTTTAGTTACAAGTGATCCAATCTCTTCTTGATTTTTACTGCATGTCATAAACATTTGACTTAAGTTTTTGCAATAACTATCGTCAACCTACTCAAACAATTATTCATTTTAATTCTTATTCCGTTATTGATAAATTAAAAACTTATCTGCCAGTGATTTATATTCCTAACTTAATTGTTTATATAAACCCGCAATATTTTAAGAGATTTATCTAATATTATTATTATATTCCATATCCTTACTGAACATTTTTGATTAATATGCAAAGAAACTCTCCATTTAGGAACTTATTTTACATTCTATTTTGCCATCTAAACTCGTCAAATTCGAGATATTGTATTCTCTCTATTTTTATTTCTATTGCTTCAACTTATTTTATAGATCACTCTCATTTTAACAACTAAAAAATGTATCTACCAACTCATCGAACCAAAATTATCTTATGATTGTATTCATAAACTTCTCTAAAGCCAATGATCTGTAATCAGCTATGTGATTCTTAGAGCCTGATGCCATTTTTTCAGGGATTGGTGGAACATAAAAGTCAGGGTAATTACTAAGTAAATATTCTCTTAGCTTCTCAAATTAAGAATATCTTCTTTCTATAACGTAGTTATGTGGATTCAAAGTGATCTTATAAATAATATACGACTTAGAAAATAAAGACCCTGGTTACTCTTGATAATTGTCAATCTTAACTTCTATATTTGGATTTTTATACAAAAAGGAATTCTAATTTATTTATATCTATTATCCTGAATAGACCTTGGAGCGCTGAACTACATCAATAGTTGGGTTTTAGTGAATATTGGCATATTGAGTCAAAGGCTATTATGGATGTTAAGTTGATTCACTAAAAAAATCAAAAGAAATATTACTTTTACTATTTCCAAGCCAAAAACTCTTCTCTTGCTATAAGCATTTCATCCATATTCCATAATTCAATTTAATCACCATTAATCTTTTTACTATTTAAATATTATAGAAATTCTGTCTTATTGTAGCCTTCGGCTTATATTGTATTCTCAATGAAACTATCCATTTAAATTACAAATGAGTTCTTGTCCATATATTTAATTAATTTATATAATTTTCTCATAGCTTATATTTTATACTTGTAGAATCTACATCATAGTTTATATCGAAAATACAAATAACTGATAATTAATTACAACATATCTCATTTATTATTTAATATTAATAACAATGAATTTCTTAGATCATTTCAAAGGCAGAACTTAAAGAATCCCAAGGGAAGGCTATCTAAACTTATTTGGTTTGGAATCAAATAGAGTCGTTTAGAATCCATAAATCTCAAAATCTAAACTCAATCAATCTCTTTAAAAAATACAATAAGAAGAAGCCTAATTGCAAAATGAAATTATGGAAATTGATGAGTATCAGTTAAAAAGATATTCGAAAATCTCTACAGAAATTACCACTCCAAGATCTTTCACCTCAAAAAAAAATTTTAGTGCTATTAGAAGTGCAAAATTTATCTTAAAATACTGAATTATGATGTCTACTCATACAATTGTGAATTTGTTAAATGAATGATTATATTATATATAGTATTCTAAATCTTTCATATCTTCTATGATTTATAGTTAATTTTGCATTTCGCTTTTCCTTCATCTCCTTCAAAAGCCTTATGTTTTTGTGTTTTGTAAACGATAACTATTCAGCCTAAGTGTAAATAAAAGAAAAACTTTGTTAACAATTATCAGATGTTTACATTTTTGCAGTTTCAGAAAGAGTAATATCATATTTTACATTTTTAAACCTAATCACAATTAAGTACAAAAACAGTTTGCCAAATCTAGGATTAGATTGATAATCACTCCTTATTTCACAATCAAAAAAATGATAAAGTCATAGTTAAAATTGAAATTATTTTCAAACGATTTCCTTATATTTAATATGGATTTTCTTATTGAAAATGACAATCATAATTTGTTAATAAATTAGTTTAAAATATTTGTGATAAATATCGTTTGGAATTTGAATTTTATATTTGATGTGGATGTATCAACAATAATTATAGAAGATCAGTGTGTCCAATTAAAATTAAGATGATTCCTTAAGCTTCCTTTATGTTCAAATAGAGGAAAGTGTTAAGTGTGATGGGATGAATTATTTAAAAAAGTTTGTTTGTTGAAAGAAAAAGGATAAGGGATTGGATTGAATGTTAAGGAATTGACTAAGGATTGAGAACATAGATATGATATGGAAGTGTGTATATATATATGGCAATTAATATAAATATAATGAGGGATATAAAATATATATTTAATTTTGAAATTCAAATTCAAAAATATATTATTTAATTAATAAAATGTATAGAAGTTAGAGATTGAGAATGAAATCATAAAATCATTCGTCGATTTCACCTCCAATAATAAAGAGGAGATTAAGAAACAAGAATGAATACATTGAGATGAATGAAATCGAACCAACTGATAAAAAAAAATAGAACATTTTATAGGACATAGCAGCAACTAAATAAAAAAGCTTAACCAATTTTGCATTGACAGTTACACCTAAATATGGATAGGAAAGAGATTATGATGATGATGAGGATATTCTATTTCAAGTATTAAATTTGAGTAAGAAATTAGTCTAAAGGGAAAAAGAGACCATGGTCAGAACAGGAAGACAATTTGTTAATTAAATTGGTTTAAATGCATGGTCCTTAGAAATGGACATTCATAGCAGAACATCTGCCTGGGAGAATAGGCAAATAATGCAGAGAGAGATGGCATAATCATTTGAATCCTCAGATTAAGAAATCACATTGGGGAGATTACGAAGAATGGATTCTATTCCTATCACATAGAGTTATGGGAAATAGATGGGCTGAAATGGCTAAATAATTAATAGGGAGGACAGACAATTCAATTAAGAATCATTGGAATTCAGCAATGAAAAAAAGAATTCCTGAAATGGAAGAAAGATTGAAAGATATTCGCAAAAGAGGAGGTACAATTTAAGTTAACAATCCTATAGGAATGTAGAATTCTGAATTGATGAATTCATTTACTTCCTTAGAAAGATAATTATTATAAAAATTGCTATCCTCCCAATAAAATGGATAGATGTCTCCCAGATCCTATTCTCCTAATAATATGCCCAGAAGAAGGACAAATAAACAACAGAATTATTTGAATCCCAATTCAGTGAATTCTTATATTTAGAAAATGATGAATGAAATTAAAATCGATGGTATTGAGAGTTACTCAATGGAAACAAAAATGCTAAAGAAAACTGCTAAAATAGCTGATTCCATATTTTGGAATGAAGACAAAGTGGATGACTTATAAAACAATCTCTATGAATATATATAAGAAAAGGTTGGAGCTCATGGTTATGATCAAGATGAGAAGGTTGATAGATGGATAAAAGACTTTTGGATTATGTGCTAAGATGTTTTTACTGTCTCTGTAATCAAAGACTTTTTATCTTAAAGACCTTCCTTCTATTATAATTATTTGCATAAATACAAACAAGATAGTGCTAATTAAGTATCCAAGAACTTAAGCAGAATCTACGAATAAACCAATAATAGTGATGAATATCAATTGCCTTCTCTCAATTAATTTAAAACTCCTCTAAAAGAAAAACCTGATCCTAATCAAAATAACACACATAATTCTAATAACAATAATAATAATAACCATAACAATGATACTCATAGTCCTAGTAACATCTGTTTGGAAGTTAAATATGATGATCAATTTTAACATTAAATTGAGTCACCTTCAAAATTATTGAATTTATTAACTCCAAAACATTAAAATATTCAATAATCTAATAAAAAGACTCCAAATTTGAAATCAGAAAATAAGAGTGTTATGCAACATTCTTAGTTAAAAGATAATTTGAGCTTGAGTAAATTAAGATTTGATACTACTCCTCTTAAAAAGAACTCAGCCTTCAAATTTTATAATAAATATAATTAGTAATAGTAGCTATGAAAAGTTATTTAATATATTTTTTTTTATAAACAGAATTTCATTAATTATGTTGCTCTTTGTATAATAATACTCATTATTAAGCCTAATTTCTTTTTACAGTCCCAAAGTATCTATCTCCAAAATCACCTATTCCTGGAGCCAAGTAGTTGATATCTTTCAATAAGATTGGATCAACTTGAGCTGTAATAATCTTAATTTTAGGATATTCACTAAACAATTTACTTAACCCCTATTCACAACTAACTAAAGTTAAAAATGTGATATTTTCTTCTTTAACTCCATGATGTTTTAAAATGTTTATAGCCATACTTGCACTTCCTCCTGTGGCCAACATAGGGTCCACTAAAATAACTTATTAATCCTTGATATTTTGAGGCAATTTTTAGAAAAAATATGAAGGTTGTGAAGTTTCCTCATTTCTTTAAATTAGTATTTATCCTATTGATGCTCCTGTCATAACCTTCAATGCTTCTATTAAAAATGCATTTCCTGATCTCAATATACTCACAAAGCAGATTCTGAATTATTTAACAAAATTACTCCTCATCCTGAAATTTTAACTCATGAGCATCATAATATCCTAATGGAGATTATTTTATGTGCTTCTTTTTTTCAATTTGAGAGATGGCTTATTCAATCAAAATTCGAATTAAACGATCTGCATTCTTTCTGAAATCCTAAAATACTTGTTACTAATACCACAATATCTGTTTAAACATCTCTTATCACTGATAGAATATGTTCTGTATAACTTCTCTCTATGATCGATAGATTTGTATGTTTCTTTTGCAATTTCTATAAATCATGATCATTAAGAAAATGATAATGAGGTAATTAATCATCATCATTTTTACCTCTAATCTGATTGCACATAATAGTTGATGAACTCAATAATCCCAAACAGCCTCCTAATTTAATTAAATTCCTAAACATTATTTAAAACAATTAAAATTCCTTATTATACATCCAATCACTATCATAATATTGTGATAGATGATGGACAATCAAGGATATAAATATTAATTATTCATTCAATCATTTTCCTTTTCTCTTAAAAGTTCTTATAATCAAAGTAAAAACTTGATTTTGACTCGCTTCTTAATTCTCCCTTAGTTATTGAACTTCACTCAAACAAATAGTATCATTTTATCATCTTAGAGATATGATTATAATATAATTTATAAAATCAAATATTTAATTGTTAATAATAACCTTTATTTGAAAAACTTGACTCTATCTAAAACATCAAACAATAAATCCTAAAATACATCTATCTATTATATACCAGTGTAATTGATAGTCCAAGTATTTTTATAACATTTATGAAAACTAATAATCTTTTTTTTCTTAATTTATCTCTTTATAAATATCCAACTATTGAAGTTTCATTAGGAATTCTTTTTCTTCTCTTCAGTTGCCAATAATTCCTATTTAGAAATCTACAATCCTCTTAACTAAATTTTATACCCATACAAGTGGATGTAATATGATACGTATAAATTTAAAGTTACAAATTTTTAAAGAATTTAAATTTCATTCATTAATTGATTTTTGACAGTATTAAAATTTCACTACCACTGTACTCACCTATGAGATTGTGATACAAAAATATACGTTTAGAGGAGTATTAGACAGTGTATAATTTCTGATAATTTACAGTGTTTGCAATATTATAAATCAAAAAATATAACTATTCTGCTAATGGTTCTACTTCAAGTTCTCTTGTTATTATTTTTTCTTAGTTAAATTAAAATTATTATTTCGGCAGATTACTCATGACATTTTACTTAATTCAGAGCAAATTTCCATTATAAATTATTAAGTAATCTAACTTTAGAATATCACTTATTTTATTATTTCTTTTGATAAGAATTATAGAATCTAGATATAATAATTAGATCCTTTGTATTTAACTTAATGTGTTTAGATTAAAATCATTCAAATTCTGAATAAGCTTTATAAGATCCTGGGCCAGGACTCTTGGCTCCTAAATCGAAAGGTCCTTTCCTTGTAGCTTTAGGGAATGAATTTAAGACTGATGATTTGAATCCATTTTTGGGACAGAACCCTGTTCCTGTGATTCCTGTATTCGAGATATCATAGCTAGCTGGCTCAGGAAAACTCTTTTAAGCTATTGTTAAATAATGTTGAAACTCTATAAAGTTTTAAATCGGTCTTAGTCTTTGCCTATGATGGCAGCACCAGAGCTTTTGAATTTTGAAATGAATTGATTTCCTCTTTCATTTGTGATTTGAAGAGCTTCATAAGACCCAGGTCCTAAGAATAAATGAATTAAAAACCAGGAGTATTAAACTATTTTAAAGATCCTGGTTTGAGACCAAATGTAAATTTGGAATCTGTAAGGGAATTTGTTGATGCATATCTACCAGGACCTGGAGATAGGTAATTCAAAGAACCCCAAATTCCATGGGCTTTCATTTAATCTCTGCTATAAGCAAAGGTTGGTCCCTTCTTCTTGTCGATATTATTTTCAACAAACGATTATAATTCATACATATTGGGAGCTGGGACTGGCTTAGCATCTTTGGAAAAATCATGTCTTAATATATGAACTTGATGTACTTGAATCCATATCCGAATCCAGCCATCCTAGTCCCCAAGGATTAAGGTAATTTGTAACTTAATTCATCAGTTCTATATTAAGTGAGAAAGAGGATTACGCTGATTTATTCTAAATAGGTTCTCTTCTGGCTCTTGGAAATGAGTACTTTTATTTTGACAAAGAAGTGTTTAGACTTGAGTCATGGGTGGCCAAATACTAATTCATTATAAAATGTAATTTTAAATATATATTTATAATATATGTATTTCATTCTTAAGATTCAGAGAATTTTCCAAAACTATTAGTGAATGCGAATCAAATGGTGAAAGATTCTTGTTATTGTTAATGGATTCTAGAATATAAATGTTTTTATTACTTGAATATTTAGAATATTTAGTATGGATTTCATTGGCTCTCTCTTCACATTCAACTATTTCATGGTCTTTCTAAGGGAATCTGCGATAACTTTTTAATTTCTATTAAATATAACTTATGTTATTACTCCAAAATCTCTTGTAATAATAATTTAATAATCTGTTTAGTCATATTTTCGATTTTTTCATTGTTATCATGAACACAAATTTTTGAAATTATCTTATTATATCCATATTTTTACTTAGAAAATTTTGTATAGAACCTCTTTGATAAGAATAGTTTTCTTAAATAGGTGTCATTCATCGTCTTCATCTTTGAGTTCTCCTTTCTGAAGGGAATTATGTCATCTATCGATTGAGGATCAAAAACTTTAATAAATTCCTTATCATCTGAAAAGAATGAATGATAAAACTGTCTTTCTCTTTCTTTTGCTGATTTACCTTCTTTATTCTTCATATTCAATTTGACTTTTAATAAATAGAAAATATCTTCTGATTATAAATTTAGTCATTTCCTCTTTTGTTTTATTAATTTTTCTCTATATAACGTTTCTTGATCAAATAGGTATATGTTGAGAAAATGAGGAGAGAGAGAAAAAAATGGTTAGGTTTAAATAATTTTAAATTTTCCTTCACAAACTCTTTGAAAACAGAGTATTGGAGCAAAGATATGATCTTTGAAAGCAAGTTTAACAATGAATTCATTTCCCTTTCTGCAATCACCTCCATATTATTTGTTACAGCTGCATTTTTGATAGGATCTTGAAATTGACAAGTTTGTTCAAAGGTTTCTTTCATTTGGATTGTCAAAGCATAAGCTTATGTTGGAAGCATATAGAATTATTAAAGGTTAAGTTAAGGGTAATTGCTATATGGTTATGCACACATGAATGGAAGCATGAGATGATTTAAAAAAATTAGATGTTATAATAAAATATCTTCTGTCTTTATAATCTTTTCTATTAAAATGCTAAGTTTTTTATAAATGATATCAATAATGTCATAATTCTGTTGAGGCTACATATTAATACTTATACGATAAGGGAGGCATTGGAACCTGTACAAATCTCCCTTCAGGCGATTTCTCATAAAAGTTACCTGCAATTTTATTATATCATAATTACCATATCCTTTAACCTCTTTTTTGATGAATTCTTTATCACGTTTCAAAAAACACCTATCCATACTATAAAAACTGCCATATTCTTTGCCATAGTTTGTATTTGATAGTGATTTTCTGCTTTATCTAATTGTTTTTTTTGCAATGCTTTCTTCATAACTTTACCTCTCAGGGACTAGTTATGGTTTCCCAGTCTTTTTGCCTTATTTTTTTATAGGAGGAGGAACATAATTCTAAGGCAATGGTGGTGGAATATATTTTGGTTTAGGTGGCTGAATTTTATATATTTTATACTAATGGAGGATCATCAGGCACTGGTTTCACTCCAATCTTTTAAGCAATCTTTGGAAATACTCCTTGAATATCCCAAGTGAGTTGAAATGCTCCCTTTCTATTATGTTACTCTAATTTATTCAATCTCTAAAATACCTGGAAAAATTCTTTTAGAACTTATTACTTCCTTTTTAGAAGGCAAACCATGTGCGACCTATATTTTTATTTATAAATACTATTGTCTCAGCAGTTGCCATTTTCATATATTTTATTATAATAAATTATTATGATTATCATTTATTTTAACCAACTTAATGTAGAAATCAGCCATTCCTAAATCTAATAGGAGAATCAGAAGCTTGTAAATCGTATAAGAAAGATTTTGTATTAATAAAATATCTTCGTGAATAAGATAATAAGTATAAAAATATAGAAAATTGAAGCAAAACTTAATATTTTGGATCATGTTTATAAAGAACAATAAAAATATTTATATTCCTAATTTAGTACCAAGGTAGTAGGTGTGGGTATTCTCTTACTATTTTCATTGGATTATCTTTTTGTTTTCAATTTGATACTCCAAATCAAATAGTATATCTGGTAAACCTACAAGATTTTAATGATTGCCAATTTATCAGATCTAAATAGCTAAAAGAAACCTAAAATTACTTAGTAAATCCTGATGGAACCAATATTATGAATGCTTTTCAATTCTTCTCAAAAGAGTTAATGGAAATTAAAACTTACATCTTTAATGGGACTAATTAAAGATTAAAAGAATTGATAAATTTATTAATTACAATAGAGATTATATCATAAAAATTGCTTTAAAAATTTTTTAGTTCCATCAAATGTAATTGGTATTCTTCCTTTCAAACTTCTATCTAACTTAGTTTCTTTAGTTTGAACTTTTTAAAGACAATTCTAAGTGGATTAATTACTTTTAATGAATAGATCCTCCTTGTTACTTGCTGATGAAATTATCAATTAAAAATTTTTATTCGCAGATTAAATTCTTTTACTGTTAAGAGGATTATTTATGCTGTTGCTTCTTTCTTCTACCTTTGGGATATTAGAAATAGAACTAGTTTTTTTATTTTTTTATATGACTGGCTCTGCTGAATATACTAATTCAATCAACTGATTATTGGAATCAGTAACCAACTTCAATGATGAGTTCTTATGCATCTATTTGCTAGAATTGATCTTATTTAAATTATCGATTTCATTCTATTATTCCCTTTAAGTTAGTGGGTACTATTTATGAAGATGAAAATTCCTGTAGTTTAGGAGTTAACCTTTCTGATTAAATTTAAACAGTTTCTCATTATCTTTTCTATCGCTGCACAATTAAACGAAATTACATTCCTCTTTCAGTGACTTAACTCTATTTGAGGCTCCTTTTAAGTACTGTCTTTTATAGTTGGTTTTGGTTATTGGCATCCTTTAAAAATCTCTATAATTCGAGATACCATTTGTAGAAATGGTTCTCAATCCTCTTAAATCTTAAAGTGAAACAGATATTGATGAAAGCATAATTAATTTAATAATATATCATAAACAAATAACATTTTACAAAATAAACATAATTTCATTCAACAAATATATTTAGAGTTTCTAAAATCTCATTTTTTGCTCCTTCTGGGTCTGTTTGAGACTATTCCCAATACAATGAGAATGCTCCTACTAATTTTGCATGGTCCTTATGATACTCATGTGCAATTTCTTTTAATTTCAATAATTGATTTTCAGATAAGAGATTCTCCGTCTCTAACTGCTCTAATAATTATTAGATCATTTCTACTCATATAATAAATTATATTACATTACCGCAATAGTCTTAATATACTTTTGATGCTCTCTACAAAATCATCAATATTCTTGGAATACAAGTAGATTTCAAAAACGCCCTTAATTCTTTACTCATTTTTTTTCTTACTAATCTCATTCAACATATAATCATCAATTTTCAATTAACCATCTTTTTACAGTTTTTTTAATAGGTCTTCGAAAGTGATGAATTGATGTGATTTTTTAAGTGAATCTTATTGACTTAATTTTTTGATTGCTGCTATAAATCCATTCAAATCCTAATCTTATTAATATTGAGAATAGAGTTCGATGATGCTGTTTTCACCTTAGCCACTTGCAATGGTTTCTAATCTGCTTTTCTCTTCAGCTGAAAAGTATTGTTTTATTTATGATAATATCTCTTTGGCTCCCAAAACAGGTGTGTTTAATTATGGCTGTTCCAATGGAGATAAGTCAGATCCAACTTAGTTAATCTAAAATTAATGGATGTAATAAGTACATTAGTGAATTTACTATATTGTTTAATAATCATCTTAAGGGTTTCCAACATATCTTCGGCATCTTGATTTTACAAATATGTTTCCAGTGTTCCTAATACTTATAAATCATTTTCTTTAAACATTTTCAATAGATATACTTTTTCATTTTCTTATAGATGTTTTTATAATGTAAATTACCTCACTTAATTCATAAATAAATTATACATCTTGGTTTTTCTATAATCCTGAGTATCATTTTATTTTTCAGAGAGCAATTTGCTATTTAAAATATAGATTCTTTTACATCAATTTTGCTCTAGTATTCATTACAATGCGAGAGGAATTGAACCCTTTAATTATTTCATAAAGTTATTCATTATGATCCGAGAACAATTATTCAACTTATCTCAACTTTTTTTCATCCAAATCCATTTAACTTATCATATCTTAAAAATTTTAGTTAATCTCCATTTCTATTTAAATAGAATAGAATTTTTAGATATTGATATCATATTAAATTCTCTATTCTTACTTTCTTTAAATAAAATTCTCTTCACTAACAATTAGATCCTAAATAGCCACATTATTTGATTTCTTCTGAGACAACTCTTATTTTGAATCATTTTATTAGCTACTCTACTATTATGCTTCTTACTATTTTTCTTATTGCATTGGTTAAATTGGAAAGTTTTGGAATAATTGAACTCTTTTTAATTCATCAGATATTTTACCATAAGATTGATAATTGTTACCATTTTCATCCTACTACTATAGTTTTGGTTAAGGAGGAGGCGAGAGAGATTCATTAACTAGATTTTAAAATTTTGGCATCAATACGCAGAATGGAGATGGAGCCTTAGATGATTGAAATTTGAAGAGATTAATTTCCTTTGATTATTAATTCGTTTATTTTTCTGGGCCTGTTAAAAGTTGGTTTTAATTATGAATTTATTATAGAGATTTCCTCAAATCATCAATAAAATAATTAACATTGGTCTCATATCTAAAATGTTATAATGTAGCATAAATAAATCCTGATTTTGAATTTTTTTATTCTTAGATGATAGTAATTTCTGATTTCTTGAAATTTTAATTAAGTAATTCATTGAATTTAGTATCTGCATAAAGTTGCAAAGGCTTTAAAGAGACCTATTCTTTCTTAATTTCTTTTTTACAAATATCTGTGCACATTCTAATTACCACTTAATCTTTTTGACTCCACAGATGATTGATAATACCATATTATTCAGATGTGAAATTGCAATTATATTTTTCCATAATGAACTTTTTAACATCCTCCACAGATTCTGAAATATTATTATTTACTGGTTATTTGGTCTACTTTAAATTTTAAAATGGTGAAGCAGGTCTTTATTGATTTGTTGACTTCTCAATTATGTTATTCAATCTCACACATAATCCTTATATATCTAGTATTCTTTGAGAATACTACAATAAAATAGCAATAATCTCTTTATTCTCTTCAATCAGAAGTTTTTTGACCAATCTGGTCATTGTTATATCAAGTAAATTCTTGTCTTCCAATTCAGCAACAACCCTAAACAAAAGATTTTACTGATTTATTATTGATTCATAGGGATTTGATAGATTATATATGACTTGATCTTCAGGTATGTCGCTACCTCTTGATGCTTCACGTTAAATAACCTGTGCTTACACTCTAGTACTATATCGAGAACCAATTAATTTAGAATTGTTCAAACCTTAATTAGTGTGTATTTAGGATTCTTCAACCAATTTTCTTATAGATTTACTTCTTCTCTTTTCTGGTGACTATTATGAAGACAATTAAGATTAATTTCTGATGTTAGAATTCATGACACTATGTCCTAAGATTTTAGTCTAAACAAGTTTTTATAGTATCTCATCAATCTACTTCATTTTTTTATCGTTATTCAATTAAATTGATACAATTCTTTTTGATCCTTTGTACACCCATAATGTATTGCTTTGAATATCATATTCTCTGTTTTAATCATGCAATCTATTGTTGAAACAATAATAAAAGTTGATCCAAGGGTTTAGGTTGTTAATTAAAGGTTCCAAGCCAATTAGAAAATCAAATCCTAATCCATCGTTTTCATCAATCAGATAAATGCAAGTGTACTATTCATCGCCCAGCATATTCTAAAACTCTTCCATATCGTAAATAAAGTCAATAAAATGAAGCTTATTATTGTATTCTGAAGTTGAACTATATTTCAAAGTTGTTTAATATAACTTATTATCTGTCACAGGTTACCCATCATCACTTACTAATGTGAATTTGTTGCACCTTGTTTAATTCAATTATTAGACAAATTATACTAAATCAAAATAATTGCCTACGCTTTATTTATTTAAGATTTACCATCTGAATCAATCAATCCAATAACTTTATTCTTTATATTAAATAATTGTCCTAATAATATTTATAAAGACTAAACATTTATTCTTCCATCCAAATTCAATTATTTCACTCTATTCTAATATTTGATAGTCAGTAACATATAAATTAATATTTATTTTTTATAATTACGCTCTAATCTTATACCTTTCATTTTTATTATGTAAAGTTATTATTAGTACTCCACCAATTTACTGTAACTCCAAGAAATAATATATCATAACAATTATACAATATTTAGTTAATTTATACTCTTTAATATAAGAGATATCTTTATAAAACTAATATGATATTACAATTAATTATAAAAATAACATTTAAAGTCGTACTCTTATTAGACTTTGTGTAGTTTCAGTGATATTAAATACTCTTTAAACTCTCTAAACTTGATTGGCTTTGTTTTTTGAATGACTTTTCTATGACTTTAGTAAGATGAATTAATTTCAGTTTGATGTTCTCATCATTTAACTTAATAATTATTAATTATATATACTTTTTAAATTAAACACTCCATTGATGATCTGATTTACCCTTATAATGTTTCTTTCTCCTACTAAATTGTTGAGATCATCTTATTGTATTTGAGGATTTTTGTAAAGTTAGCTTTTGTTGTGTTCAATATTAATTCTAAATAGTTGTTATTTATTTAACGAGATGTAACTATTTCTTCAAAATTAGCAGTCACTTAACAAGCAGTTTTAGCTATCTAATTCACTAGTTTCTGTTGTAATTTATCAAAAACAATAGAGATGTCATTATTATCTATTTATTATGAAGCTAAAAGACTTTATTGAACTTAACCACTCATATTAAAATACTTTCTTTGATGGTTTAGTTAGGTGAGTATTTTATTATATATAAAATTAAATTGTTATGATGTTAGCATTTTATCTATAATATTATCTTAATGAAACAAAAGTTTGAATTGCATTTAATATATTTCTTTGGTTTGTTAAAGTTCTCTCTTTAAGCTTTTAATTTCTTTTAGAATTGCTTGAAACTTTAATTTTATTCTATCAAAACTAAATGACTGAAGTTTTTTATTTTTTTGATAAAAGTCTTTTGCACTAGTATTTGATAGGATTTTCATGTTTTCAATTTGAAGAATATAGTTTTTTTTCTAGTATTTTATCATTTGATCTTATAGTTATTAATTTAGAATGCCTTCTACTTCTTTATTGAGACACTTGGATTCAATAAATTTTGTAATGATGTCCAAAGCTGTCTGATAATCAAGTTTATCATATTTTTATATTGTAAAATTTATCAGTTAATTTTCACTTAACTTTTAAACATTGAAAATCAATTATTATTCAATTTCATATAATATTTCTTAATGTTCATCTTCAGCAGATAAAATAGACTCTTAAGGAGCATTTTCTTAAACCAATTATTATTAGAGTTGCTAAATCATAGCATTTAATTTATCTATTTCGGAAGTAAATTTCAAACACTAAAATAATTTGAATGTTATACATCATTTTCAGCTGCCCACAATATTGCAATCATTTGTCTAACAGATAAATCTGTGTCTTTCATACTGTCAATGATTGTTGCGTAATCTTACTTCAAGATTTATAAATGAGGGTCCTGGCCCAATTTTTGTATTAATTGATCATAATTATTCATATAAATAATAGTAATAAATGTTAGAACATTACAAATATTTAAAACATAAGAAATTTTCAGTTGCTTAGTTCGGTAGTTTTAGAAAATTTGGTTTCATTGATAAAATTAAAACATAGAATTCACCAATTTTATAGTAGTATATTTTTTGAGTATATTGTGTTTATTGAATAAGTATTTCTTTTATGTTGTTTTTATTTATTTGATAATGTATTCAAAGTCAGAGGGAGAGGTGATATAATGAGTCAATTCATTAAAAATTTGTCCAGTCTAAATCAATAATAAATTAATACTTCATCATTTATTATTTTTATGTTTATTTTGTTTTCATCTGAAAATATGATTGACAGTCCTCTATATATTTGTTGATTACTTGTTAATTTATTGATATTTCAAGTTTGAATGTATATTATAGTTATGGTTAGATATCATTGGAAGTTTGTAATACTATACTAATTTAGGAGTGGATTCTGAGAAATATTTGTTATTTACTGATTACTCAATAAGACGAGAATGATGTTTATATATTTGAGGATATTTATATAAAATAGTTAATTAAAATCATTCAAGAGTGTCAAAGAATTCTTAAATTGTGTTTTGTCGACGAGGTTTCCTTATTGGAATTTGAAACCAATCTTTTCCATAGAGGTTCTCAACATAATCAGTAAATGTTACTAACTGATACAATTTGTTTTCTTTATTTTTTTTTTATTGTTTTTGAATATGCGCATCATCAATATTATTGAAGAAATCATCAAGATCATTCTTGACTTCTATTTTTAAGGTTGGTTGAGATTGAAAGTTTTCATGTCTTCTAAAACGAAAGGTTTTATGAGGCTTTTATGTATCCTATGCACTTTCAAAATCATCTATTTTAGAGAGCATTTTCTTTAAATTGAATTCAGATGGTCTTTGTGTTTTAAGGCTATTCTGACTTTCCATTAGGTTATCAATGCTATCATACTTCATTGGAGATTAATTCAGAAATTGCCTCGATTTGTCAGGCGACTTCAAAGGAGATTAAAATAAGGTTTCTTAATCGTAATCTGAAGTAAACAAATTTTTGGTTAGATAGGATAGATTTGTTTTCCTATTAATCATGCCAAATTTATATATTAATTATCGAATTTCAGAATTTACTGTACTCATAATTAAATTTATTCATATAAAAGAGATATCAATCTTGGCCACTTGACAATGTAGCTTCAATAGCCTGAGTATTATTTGATTAGTATAGGGTTTTCTATTCTTATATCAATCGTTAGATATTTAGATCTCGTCTCTTGTGATTCAATTTAAATTGATAATGTTATTCCATAGGAATTCTATTGAATTAGAGATTTTATTCTTATTATCGAATTTTTGAGTAATGCCAACTCTTTTATAAATTTCGAACTTCTTCAAAATGCTTTCTATTTTGTTCTAATAATGGTTAATGCTATGATTAGAATGGAGATACTTGAGGTTTATTATGGAGCAATCCACAAAGTTTGGCATGTTTGATGATTTGATTCATCTCAGCAGCAGAGTATATCTTGGTGGAATTCATTTCTGATAGTTTTCTATTCACACTATAAGAACTATTTCTGCTTTGGAAACTTTCATCATTGTATTTCATAGATTGAGATCTCTGTTTCGAAACTCTGTCTATGTGATCCAAATAACCAGGAGTTATATGGTTATCCATTGGTTAAGCTTCTGACACTTTGAGACTAATCATCATTATGATCATAATACTTCGAAATTCCCAACAGATCCCTATATTTTCGAATGTATTATTGTTTCCATTTTAATTTATTTGGATTCTCTAAATTCATTAATTATAAATATTATCATATTTTGTATTTCCTTATATTTTATATAAATATAATTAGCAAAAATGGAGCTAATAAAATCCTGAAAATTATTGTAATATATAAATACAAAAATACATGACCACTCCTGTATGATTAATATTAATTAGCTTAGATAGAAGTTTAATATTGAGGATTGTTCAGAATCAGAAAAGGAAGAAACCCAAAAGAAATCATCTGAAAATTAACCCTTATTTTAAACATCCTTATTTGAAACAACAAATACCAAACAATTAAAGAAGAAACCATTAGCCAAACTGACTCTCCAAGATTTCTTAACAAATTATGATCAAAATTTTGATGATGTTTTTGGAGAAAAAGAACTATAACCTAAAGAACAGGTAAATAAAAAGAAGAAGAAGAAACCAGCATAAAAGAAAAAACCAAGATCTGATTCTGAATCTGAATTTAAATCCATGCCTAAAAAGGAACAGATTGTAGATTCTGAATAATCAAACGAAAAACAAATTGAATATACTCTTGTAAAAGAACAAACATAGAGGAATTAGAAAAAACATAGATTAACAAAAATTAATAGTAGTAAATTAACATCTGAAGAGAAATCGAATGAAGTCAAAAGATATGATCCAAATTCTGTTGATCTACCAGAAAACACTAAAGCAGAGAAGAAGAATTTCAAATTGAGAAAATTTCTATTTAGCTTCGGTTTGGAACAATAAAATCCTGAAGATGATTAAGAATAAGAAGAAGAAAAGGAGGAATAAGTTGAAGAATAAAAAGAAAGTGTTAAAGAATTGAATAATAAAAAGAAAGATAATAATACAAATGAAAATAATGATAATTAAATAGAATAATTGGATATTGATTAAATCGAAAATAAAAAAAGGAGAAAATAACCTAAAACGCAGAATAATAAGTAATAAGAAAAAGAAAAAGTACAAAAATAACCAGAAGTAGATCTTAAAACTATGCTTAATCTTGATACTTTGAAATAGAATGTCTACATTCCAGAATGCAATCCTAAAGATAATGTTGATGATATTAATTAATGATTATACATATTATCTTATCATTTTTATTATAAATGGTGATGCCATTTGGTTTTCTCTGATAAGATGCCTGGATTTGTAACATTTCCAAATTTCCCAAAATTGCCATAAACATTGTGAGCTGTGCTTAGAAAGTGTCGTTTCACATTGAAACTAAATTAATTCTCATTTAATACTGTCTTTCTCCTAATTCTACTTGGGATGCATTTTTAGTGAGAATTGGAGCATCAGGTTCAGGTAATCTGGATCTGAATGAACCTGTGTGATAGGGTTCCAATAATTTATTAGTGGAACCAACATGTAAATAAGGTTTGACTTTATAATCATCACTCATATAAAAATAAATGGATTACGCATAAGTTGATGTTGTGTATGTAGATTTTGTTTCGTGTTCAGCTGGAGTCTTGTTTGCAATTTCATAGAATGGAACAGCCTTTTGATAATACTGTTATTACTTCTGGATTTCCTTGTTTCATTCTCACATAAGAACATGAACTAACTTTTGTGCTTTTGAAAAAAGCGGCTGATTTATCTAACTTCAAGGATGGATGGAGTACCATTCTGCCACTATGAATTGATTGTTTAGTCTCGGACGGTTGTGACATTATATTAATTATTTATTTTAATTAATGAGATCTAATCATTAATACAATTATAATTATAAATTAGACTAAATATTTTCCAGAGAAAAGTAATCCATCATATATACATATATTAGGTCTTATGATCTTCATTTGAAAAAATTGAGTGAAATTAAAAGCAAAAAATCTCATTCGTAATCAAGAGTCTAACATATAGAAATCTTAGAAAAGAGAAATAATATCAGGCAATAAAGAAGACGTTTTGATCTCAGTGGTATGTTTTCATGAAGATTTTAATAAATTTAGAACAATCAGAACGAATCAATAAGGGAAACAGTTAGTTATATTAAAAAATAACAGAAATCTGCAATAGGCCGATGTAATAAGATTACTATAAATATGAAGATGAAAATCTACATCATCCTCATAATTTAAATTTAACTTTTCGCAAAATACAAGCTTAATAAATTTAACATGAAAACATTAAATTAGCTGATCGACTCATGAAACAAGAACCTGTCCTAAAAATGGACGAGTATTCTCATTAATATAAAGAAAACAAAAGGTTGATGCAAAGACTTCAAAGATATCAATAATGTCAACAATATGTCAATTCAATTAGGTAATCTTATATCTATTTTAGAAATAACTTGACTCTATCCAATCGTGATACAACAAATAATAGTTCAATATCCTAGAAGAAGAAGGATAAATTGTAGTTATAACCAATACTCAAGTAAATAAACATATTTAAATCTTAGTGTCAAGAATAAATCAATTGATGTAACAGAGTTAGAAAAAATCAATTATTTAATAAATCATGAAGACGAAGCAACTTTAAAGGAACTTCTATAATTATAAGAAAAGTAATAATAATAAGATGAAAAGAATTAGACAAAGTAAGAATTGCCTGAAATTCCTCAACTCAATGAGGAATCCTAAATTGAAACTATCAGACAAGATGAAATTGTAGAAAACCAAATTTAATAATAGATAGATAATGAAGTCAAACAATAAAGTGATGATATTGATTAATAATGAATTATTTTGTTTTCTTAACAGTTTTACATAATAATAATATTAAATTTTATTTATTTATTAATATCAATTTAACAGTCATATGAAAAGCAAAGATTAAGTGCTCAAATAAGTATATGAAAGTATTAAATCATTATATCTAGATGACAATAAAACATTTGGTAAAAAAAATAAGCCAAGAAATGAAGAACCCAATATGTTTGATATTATGAAATGGCCTCTACAATAAGATGAACCTTGGGATTTTAAAAAGAAAATTTAAGTGGAAAGAGAGCCAGAAACCAAAAAGGTAACTGCAAGAATTAATCATGAAAATTAACATTGGCAGACTGAAAATAAAGATAATTTTAGAAAAATTGAAAAATTAAAAGTCGATGATTCTTAAATTTATGTTTAAAGTAAGTGTAATTTTCATAAAATTTCTAGAATTAGATGATAAAACTATCAAAAATATAGCCAAATCATGCGAATGTTAAAATAGTAAGGCATAATAAACAAATAAACATTAATAATATTAATAACCAGAAGATTTAGATGAATAATATAAATTGCCTTTGAAATGGAATCCAAAATAATAATCTGCATATAGAGATAACTATTAAGTGAAAGATATAAAGGATTAAAATGAACTTATGTATTAATTGGAATAAAACAACAAAAATTTTAAAGGGTAATACAAAGCATTGCATCCTTAAGGAGGATTTTATTATGAGGAATCTAAAAAAGAAGAGGAAGAAGCAGTAAGTTCTGAAGAGGAAGAGGAAGAGATTAATGAATAATAGAATGACGACTAAGTAAAGAAGATGACAACCAAATTCATCAAGAAGGCGAAGACTTTAGATCCAAATAATCCTGAAGATGCTGAAAAATTGAAAAGAAGAAAGGAGAGAATTAAGAAGTTTTAAGGTGAAACACGTTGGATAGCAGATTCGGCATTCACAACATATTTTGGTAAACCTGCATGGGGTCCATATGGATATAATAATGTGAATCCTACAGTTGGAGGAATGATATATGGACAACATCTCTTATCACACAATGTTTAACCTCATAGAAATAAGAATGATCCATTTTACATTTAGACCTATCAGAATGCATTAAGGAAAGGAGCTGCTGTTGCTAATGTAGAACCAGAACCTCCAAGAAATTGCAGAGAAGAGGACAGATTAAATCCAGAACAAGTTGATGCATTAAAATCAAGGAATCCTTTGACTCCATAACCTTACTAAGAATTAAAGAAGTAATTAGATTCAAAAGGTAAATAAGTAATACCTGAGTTCAGCATTAAAAAACCAGATTTAGGTAACACTTTGCGATTTGCTTCTGAAGCAGGAAGCGTTTAAGGTGAATCACATCCATAGGAGAATTAGAAGAGTTAATAAAAGATAAAGAGGCCATAATCAGCCTTGGATAATAGAACATAGAAGTCATAAACTGAGAATAGGTCAAAAGTAAGTCATGATTAGAAAACAAAAGATTCAAAAAAGAAATTAGATAAGAAAGTTTAAATACAATCAGAATCAAATTTAAAAGTTGATGATCATTTGGCTATTCCTGATAAGGCAAGTAACAAGTTTATTGAAGAATTGAAATAGAAAAAGGAAAAGGCAAACAGATTGACTTGCAAAGTGAATGAGATAAATCCTTCATTATTGAAGCAATCACCCAAATAAGAGTAGAAGAATTAAATAACTGCTGATCTCTAAGAAGTTAAATCATTTGATGATAAGTACCATTGATTTTAATTAATAGAAATCCCCCTCCAAATTATTTGTAATCATTAGATCCAATTGAGTTGAATCCTAAAAACTACAAGGGAGTTCCTTCTGACTGGTTACATAGAATTCCATTTGCAGGTAAGAAACAAGATATCATAAAGAATGGATAATAAACTAAAGAATGTTTTGATTATGGTTTTTGATTATATAATGATATCTATTGAATAAATTTGGTATCTTATATTATAATCTATTTTTAATATAAAACCAATTAAATTAAGAATAATTAAAATAAAATTCAAATAGAAATGGCATATTAATAACCCTTTTATATGAATTCACCTCCAAGACCTCAGCCAGTAATACCAGGAAAATATCCACAACCCATTGTTCAGTCAAGACCACCATAATCATATCCTTCTAATATTCCTTAGGTGAATTTGAATTTATTTTATCCTGTAGGGGTACTGTTAACCATAATACTAATAACCCACTCTTCCACTTAAATAATAGCCAGTAACTTTGCAATAGCAACTTCAATATTAATAACCCCCCCTTGGTTATCCATCTACACCTTATCAACCAGGTCCTGTTTACCCACAAAATGCACCTCGCCCTACCTAAATTTATAATCCTTCATACTAACCCGTATTTTATTTTAGATTATTTTATAGTAATATCGATAACCAGTTTAATAATAAGTACTCCCAAGAAGTGTACAATAACCTTATTCCCAAACTTGTCAGCCTCCATAACAATTATTCCAACCCCCATTGCCTTCAAATTAATACCCTTAATTGAAACCATAGTATTAACAACAATTAGTTTAATAATCTATCTAAAATAAACCTACTTAACCACCTAATTAATCAAGACCTCAATAAGCATCGTAGTAAAGGCCTCCTCAATAGATTTAACCATAGTAATAAAGACCTTAATAGAATTCACAGAAAGATTAGCATTTAGAAGAGAAATTTAAGGATGCAATTAACAAAGACAGAGACTCAACATAGAAATATAAAAATCCATAACAACCATAAAAGAAGTCTCCTGATGATGAATAAGAGTAATAGTTATAGGAGCTTGCCCTTTAATATGAAGATGGATATATTTATCGAGGCTAGGGATATGAACCAGCTATGAGGGAAGGATTTGGAGTCTTAACAGACTAAAATGATAATGAGGTTTACAGTGGCTATTGGCATGATAACTAATATCATGGATAAGGCAAACTAATCAATTTCCAAGCGGAACAAATTGAGGGAATATTTGATTATTAAGATTTGAGTGGGATTGAAAATGGCTGGTTAGGATATGAAGGTAATTTTTATTGTTATTTCAAAGGCGAGTTTCTCGAAGGAAAAATGCATGGATCAGGCAAACTTTAATTAACAAATGGAGAAAAATTTGAAGGTAATTTTAATGATGGAATGATTGATGGAGAAGGAGTCTATTCTACATTCCATGGCTAAACTGTTAAAGGAGTATGGAAAGAAGGCATATTAATAAATTATATTTGATTTTATTATTAAATCCAGATCAAAAATGTTAAATTAACTAGTTTAATTCAGTTTATCTTCTATATTTATTTGAAATATAAATTTCTAAATTTACCCAGATAAAAAATAATTGTAAATAACATACATATAACTATCTATCTCCCTTAATATAATTGTTGATAGCCATCATATTGAAGTTATAACTCGACTCACTATTTGAAATTAATTTCAAAGAGCTTATGGAAATATTACTAATATATAACACAAATTATATATCAAATTTCAATTTTTTTTGTTATTTATACACAGGAATTTAATGTTTTGAATGGTGATAGCTTCATCTTTCACTTCAAATTCGTCAACTTTTTTAGAGGAAATATCTTGAAAACACAATAATAAAGAGTTTTTAGAAATTTTCGATCTATATTAAGGTTTAAAAATCTTGGAATACAAATACTCCTTAGGGGTTTCTCTCATATGGGGATTTGCTTGCATCATCGATTTAAGCATTTCAATGATATCCATATCAAAATTATGATTTGGAATGTGATATTTCCCCTCTATGTTGTTTTTAAGTATAGTTTATAAGTCATTTCCAAAGGGATTTTAGTAAAATAACCTAAAGAAATTAACATTATAGATACAGATGATGCAAGACAACGCCTAATTAAAATATATTGGCCAAGGGTGAGATCAGATATTTACTCTGAATATATTCAGGAGGTATAAAACCTATTGAACTACCCTTTCTAAAATTATGATATTATTTTACATAGGCATGTCTCTATTACATTCAAAGGTTGATGATTAAAAATTGCTCACAACAATTGAATTAGAGTCCAGGGAATAATTAATCATATCCAAATTTATACTATTTTGTATAATATGAAGCTCCTAGAAAATGTTTAATACTAAAAATAAATTGTTAAGATACCAATTAACAATTATTCTACAATCTCAATTACAAAAGAAAGAGGTAATCCCATTTTTTACCTTTTTAAAATCTACTTTAAAGATATTAAATTTTAGTTCGCGTAGATTAAAGAATAATCGTCACCGTCATACTATATTGATACCATTTTTATAATATAAGGACATCTCTGAGAATACAAAAGTTGAATTATCCTGATTTCCTCAGGTACTCTGGCTTACCATAGTTAGGTTTTATATGTGTTCGACATCTCCAGGTCTTGAGAATTGAAATTAGAAAAAATTCTTTTCTTGATGTACTGTTTACTATTTTTTTTATTTGTTACTAAAGTCATCTATACTAAATATCATATATACTTCATATAATGAATTGGTTTCCAGGACTGAAATCTATTTATATATATTACTTTTGTTAAAAATGAACTTACCAGAACAAAGGTCATACAGCTTTTCTAGTTAATTCCTGGAACCTTCTATCTGGTATTCTTTGCCCTAGTAGGAGAGCTTAAAATAAAATTCATTAAAGCAAGGTTCTTCTAAAAAATCATTCCAATCCATAATTGCACTCTCATCACTCCAATAGATAAACAGCTTAAAAGCTAAACTTAATGAGTCCTAAGAATTTAAGTAAGTAAATACCAACAGTTTTAATCCTTAGGGCTCTGAAATGATATAAATTTGTGTTTTACTCTCCTAAGGAAAGTTTAACCCATTAATGAGATATAGGTCATTTTCATTCATTATAATAGTTGATAAAGATTTAGAATTTTATATTATAAATTAATTTCTTGTAATTTGGAAAGTTTCCATTTATAATGAAAGAAGAAGGATAGTAAATTTTAATGACGGAGTAAATATTACAATTATCAAATAACAAAAAAAAAAAAAAATATTAAATTTAAAATAATTCTTAAGTTGAATCTACTTTTGTGTGATCAGTTAAGTAGAGTATGGGAGAATTGAACAAACATGAATAACATAATTAATCATAGTTTTTTCAATAATGATATTTTAGCCATTAAAAATTGTTATAAAATTCAAGCTTGAATGTGGACTATTTCGATAATCAAACTCAAATTTTAGAAAATTTTTCAAGTTAATAATAAATACTAACAGAGGAATTGTGATATATTATATTAAAATAGTATTTTAAAGTAGATAAGGAATAATTATTCTGAATTATATGATTGATTTAAAAATTAATTATAAAATTTAGGATAAATTCGTTTTTAATATAAATCGTTTTTTAATATTAAGTTTATCAGATATGAAATACATGATTGTTGTATTGTTAGCTTTAGCAGCCACAAGTTATGCTTCAAAAACATAAGATCAAATCTTAGCACTTTTATAAGTAAGTTGAATTAATTATGAGAACAGACTGGAACAAAAGCAAGTGATGCTATTGATACAGTGTTTGGATTGTTGAATGATTTGAAATAATTCAAATATTGATGCTTAATTTGCAGCAGATTAAAAGAATGAAACAGATGAATGGGTTGGTGCTTAGTAAATATATTTAATTTAAATATTAGAACTATTGAATAATTCACCAAAATCAAAACTTTGAATTAAAAATTATTCTAACAAGCTGTTGAAAATAGAGCTGAATACGAATAAGTTTTATCACAAACCAAAAATTATTTGGCTTGGAATGAAGCCAGAAGAGATTCCATTGCAGCTAAAATTGAAACATTATAAGATAACTAATGCTTCAGCAACCAATTATTTGTCAAATCGATTAAACACAACTAAGAAGCCCTTGAAGTTATCAAACTACTTAAATAAGATGTTGCCGGTTATATTATAAATGGAGATTCATTTGAATTTACATAAGTGCAAGCACAATCGGTTGCTGAAAAATTGAAATAATACAGCAATTTGTTCTAAGAACATCAAATAAAATCATTCTTAGCTTTAGCTTCAGAATAATAAGTAAATTATGAAAATATTTAAGGAATAATCATCAGGAAATGGATCAACATTGGCCGAAAAAGTCTTAGGTGTCCTTTAAGGATTAGAAAGTGAATTAGAAGCATCATTAGAAAATTTGAAATAAAATGAAATCAATGCATCTTGGGAATTGGCTGGATGGGTTTCATTATCTGAAGCTGAAATAACAAGTTTGGAAGTAGAATATGAAAGAAAATAAGTATTTGCTGATAGAACCGCTACTGTATAGATGATTAATTAAATTAGTAAATTCAAGCTGCTCTAGCTTAATAAGCAAAATCTAAGATTATTTTATAAGAATCATAAGATGCCTTAGATTAAGCATAATCTGATTTGGAATCCAAGAGAGCTGATTATGAAGAAGCAAAGGCTAAGAGAAATGAAGAGAATGCCATTTTGGATGAGGTTATCATAATGTTCAAGAAATAAGTTGCTTCATGGTCAGGAAGATGATATTAATGATAGATAGTAAAGAATATGTCATTTATTCACAAATAAATATCACATATTCATTTCTAACATTTCAATCTTTATTTTTTCAATTACAGTTTCAACTAAAGAAACCATTTCTTGTTCAGTAGTTTCTCTTTCTTTTCTATTTCGCTTCAATAATTCAGTAATTCTAAATTACACTTCTCTTAAACTTTCAACTATGTCTTCCTCTTTGGCTTCTCTTTCTTTTCTCTCTCTATAATAATGATTAGATTATATAATACCTATCAAATAATTCTCTTAGGTCTGATATTTACTCCATAAATTAATGGTATATTCTTTCTTCAACCTCTCTTCTTTCGTCAATCTCATTTTAAAGATCATCAGCAATCTTTGGTAGGTCTTCATTTAAATACATATCCACATATTTATGTGATTCCAAAAGTTCAACTCCTTATCTATTCACATCTTAGTATATGTAATCTATTTATTAACTAATTGCATAGGTTAATTTCTTCTCTTAATCTACTCTCTCCTTTTAACTAGTTTCTAATAATCTTTTTGCATGTCTTTCTAAATCAACAATCATTTTTTATGTTTCTTATTCTTATCTCACTCGACTAATTTTCAAATTATTATTACTTATCGTTTTCACCTTCCAAGAATACTTATAATTCTTTAAATTTATTTGCCAATTAACTGAATATTGCTTCCTTTTATTAAGATGCATTTCTTAAATTAGATTCAAACTGGGCTATCAATTATGCGATAATTGAAAATCTGCTATTTTTTCTAAAATTAGTTATTAAATTAGTTCATACTCATCTTAAACTTGGTTCTAGATATTGTTTAATTTCTCAAAAATCCCTGTTACTCTAGTTTATAGATTGTCATTCATTTCTTTGAATTATAATATTTATTAACTATTTAACAGAATTTTTTATTAATTTAAATTTAATTCAGAGATTAATTAAATAATAAAAATAGTTATTAAATTAATGAACTCAAAAAAAGAGTACTTAAAAAATGTGTTTGATTAACATATTTTAAAAGAATAAAGAAACAATAAGTATGAACCAAGTAGTAGCTTATTGTAACCAACATTTTAAAATCTAATGCATTCCCTGCCATCTAATATTTAACTTTCCTAAATGAAATATTCAAAGTATAGATCTGCATCCACCAGTTTGGAACAATCAAAACCCCTGCCAAGTCCAAGTTTTGGAGGTTAAATGACAAGATCTCAATAATTTAGAACAAATAATATTTTAGGAGATATAAAAGATAGAAAATATTGAAAAATTAAAACACCATTATTGAATACTTAACAAATAGAAATTAAAAATGATCATTATTTAAGAATAGATGTGCTTAGAGCATACCCTTTCTGATTCTTATCTCATCTTCTTCAATCTTTTCTCGTGTTGTTTGATGTAAAGTCTCAACAGAATTTAGTATAACCCCAATTACACCAAAGCTACCACAGTATGAATATATATTGAAACATAAAAAATTATTAGCAATGAGGTAGGCTACGAATTGAGCCACTAAATGCTATACTTCCTTTAATATTCTACCATTATTTTATAACAATAATAGCATTTTCTCTGTAAGAAGCAAATACCCAATCTGATTATTATTCTGAATTTCATTTCCAAATTTGATGCATTGTATTCAAAATATTGCAAAAAGTATTGCATGAATGTGTTAATTCCGAAAAGGCCTAAACCGCCTATACTATACTTATTTCAATTTAATCTATCAATAAAGAAATCAGCCCAAAAGATAATGATATTCGTATTTCGCAACTCTAAGAGTTCAAAAAGGCTACCATAAAACTGTTATGAAATCAGTCAAGGCCTAATTATTCAAAACAAACTAATTCCATGATTTGTATTTTATATTGCAAAGAGCATTTTCACTCCAGCAAAAATACATTTCTCCAAGAGTTTATATCTGATGGGATTTCAGATTGTGCAATTTCTATCTATTCAAAAAAATGTAAACAATACTTATAAAAATTTAATTGAATTTATATTATAAATGGTCCCGCGTTGTTTATAATATGTCTGTATGTTGATAGTGTTATTTGTCTCAAAATTATCCATTCTAAAACAGACGAAATATCCTAATATCTTAATATTTATATTGTAAGTAAGAATGATTCCGAATGTAATTAGACCATAAGAAATTTATAGTGCCAATTTCCTACCATAATCATAATAAAAATAAATATCAGCGATAAATAGAGTACAAAATCTAGGATAAATTTCCAGTATAAACAAAAGATTTAATTATGGATTGCAAAGATTTGAAACAAGGTAAGAGCGTATTAAAGCTTTATTTTATGATTAACAGATGAAACATTATTTAAGCTATCTATATCCTAAAATCTATCAAAAGATATGTAAAAATATATGCTAGACACATTATAATCAAAAGTTTTAGAAGTAAATTAATTACAACGTTCTAAATTATCTTTAAAATTGAAATTAGGTTCAATAAGAAGAAGACAGGCTGTAAAATAGTTAGTAATCATCCACTATAATCCCCCCCCCTCCCCCCCCGATATAAATTATTTCTCTAAAGCAGACATCTGAAAAATATATTTCAAACAAAAGTGTCAAATAATTTATAAAAAATATATAATTTAATAATCTTATATATATTTGATTCTTAAGCAGGTATTTTCAGGTTTTGGGGT